CACAGACCAAAGGAATTCTGGTCTATAAACATTTCAGATATGAACATTAATAGGTTAAAAGCAAAACTTAGGCCAAAACTAGGCTTAAACTTAAGCTGGAAAGCCGCAAACAAAAGCTAGATGCTGCAAACAGATGGTGTGTTGAAAAAAGGTTACGATTAAAGGATGAGAGCTTTATAATAAAGGTTATGATGAAAGGTTATCTAGCATTTCAAACATCAAACGATGGTATATTTAGCAATGAATAATTGGAGCCTAACCTCATGGCGGGTTTTCCCCACACCTAATGCTTCACTTGAGCTCTGTGAGGTAACCGAAACTGAAAGTGTAATTCCAAACCAGCTGATTGTCTCAGACAGCCTTCACCCACCACCCCATGATGACAGAGCAGAAGTGCTAAAGCTTCGTGAGGCTTGCCCTCGCTGTGCCTGTAGATCCACAGACAACTATCAGACTCAGTGGGGAAACCTAAAATTTATTTGCAGCTACAGGGGAATTCCAGTAAAGAGAACCTGATGGTTTGTTTACACTCTGAGGGTGCAGGGCTCTGGGCCAGAGGTACTCTTAGATCATTTTTCTAATCATTTGTTAAATAACTACTCAACACACACCCCCCAAAACCAAGATTTGAAATATATATATATATATATATATATATATATATATATATATATATATAATGTGGCTTCCTAATTTGCCCTTTACTTTCTTGGACATTACTGTTAAATTAAGTCTAACAACTATGTGTGTGTGTGTGTGTGTGTATATACATATATATATATATATATACATATACACACATACATATATACATACATATATATATACATATACATACATATATATATACATATACATATATATATGTATATATATACATATATATATGTATGTGTGTGTGTATATATATATATATATATATATATATATATATATATATATATATATATATATATATATATATGTGTGTGTGTGTGTGTGTGTGTGTATATGACCTGTTAAGAGATTATAAGTAGGCATTAGCATCATGCAAACTGCCAATGCATCACTGCAGCCATATCAACAATGTAAATGTTAGCCACTTCTTTAAATAATAGAGTTTACTTGAGCCTACTTTGAAGAAAAGACCATTTTGGAGATGCACGCTTTTGTTATGAAGATGGCACCTAAAACCAGCACTGGCAAGATGTTACCTGATGCTAAGATAAGCACTTTTGTCATTGTGAAATGTTTTATGAAAAACGAGTCCACCCGGAAACACGGGCCAAAATCCTCAGAAGTCAAGGAGAAGTCCCTTTGGACTTAGTGTCACGTCTCAATGTCTTCCCAGAGGAGAGCGCTGAAGCTCTAGGTGGATTTCAGGAAATCATGGAATGGCTGGAAAGTCCCAACTGCTGGGCAAAGCAGGGAAATTAATGGAAATATGGCACTAGGGGCACGGAGACAGAAACAGAAAGAGAGGCAGTACAGCGTGTTTGTATGTAAACAAGGGTCTAAAAGGGGTTTTTAGTGACGCTCTGTGGGTTTTTACAATGACCATCTGTCATCTCTGCTTTATACAGCTCAGATATCCTAAATAAAGGTATTAAACCCCAGAGCTTCCCTTCTCATTTAACCGTTACGGCTGCTGGAATCTACCGAGAAGCACAGCACTGCCCTCTGATAAGCTAATCGCTCTCCTACACATGCAGCGCAAGCTGGTCATTAGAGACATTTACCATGCTGTCAGCTGATCACATAGAAAACTGGTACTTTCCGAATCTGATATCTAATGTAAATTTCTCAAATAAGGCTGCTCAGCAAGTGACATCATTGATGACGATGGCGACATGTACCTACCTGTCTAAGGTAAAGTGATTTTAAAAATAAATAAATAAATAAATAAAATGAAGCTCTGACTTCGTCATCTGACGTAAAAACAAGGACAGACGAAAGGCTTCAGTGTGCATCTTGTATTAAAGTTTATCCAATACAATTAAAATACTAAATTTTACATCAAGGGTGACCAGAAATCAAAACACGTCATCAGATGAGCAGGGGGAGTTTTTGCTTTAGCAAACTTGAGGAAACCTCACTTTACAAGTGTGCCTCATCAGGACGAGAGTCTTTTCAAACTACCAGCATGACCATGGCAACTTTATTTACAGCTCTGACGGTAATGGGATGGGATGATAAGAACGGGAATTGCTGTTTTTTTATTCTGTGGTCTTAAAGTCCCAGGGAACATAGTGTAATATATGAAACGTTTGATATTGAAATTGAGTCTTATAAACATTCAGCAAAGTTTGGATGGAAAAAAAACCCAAAATATAATAAAACACTGCTTGAACAACGCAGATCAGATGTGAGAACTATCTGGGCGTGGTCTTAATATTCTAATAAGCAAGACTTATTGACATCCCTCTGTCCAAGACTTCCAAACTGCTACGCCAATGAAGCAGAAGTAAAGACAAAAGCATGAGAGGAGAGAAACAAGTGGGACAGACTCTACATATTGCTGCTGTTGGAAGAAAACCTCGTATCTCCATTTTTGTCGTTTTTCAGTTTTTGACATAATTTGAAAATGACTGTTGCTCTTTACGTTGTGTGTAAATTTCATGATGAATGGACCAAAAGAAATGACCCAAAATGACTTGGAAAAAAGTCTGGTTCCATTGACTTACATTAAAGGTAAAGTTTGTTTTTTCCTTCTCCTGTAAAGTTACAAGGTTTTCTTCCGACAACAGCGATATACAGGTAGTGTTGAAGGTACTGCTGTATCCCAGTAAAGCCCATTTTACTCATTACTCATGGAAACCATATACAGTGCCACATGCAATATGCTACGTTTGTCAATATAGCCTTTATACCAGTGTAGTTTATCAGCAGCAATAATGTGGGTGTGTAACGCAAAAATGTGCTTTTTTGATGCTCACATCTATTTTTGCAGATTCAGTATTCTTGCTATATTATGCCATCTAGACCCTTAAGCAGCAACACTGCACTCAGACAAACTTTGTTCTACAGTTTGTTGGACTAATGAAGGAAATAACTGAGGACCAGCCAATCAAAACTCCTTTTTCAAACAGTTAACAGCTGCAAGCTATGCTCAAATGTCATATACATGCTTATGTCATTTGTAATGGAAGAAAGATATCTGTAGGTTATGCTTATTATGCATTACTGGAAAAAAAATGTGGTCAGAAAACGCTGTTTGCTTCACCAACGTGCATGTACAGTGTGAAACAGCGAGCTTGCAGCATAAAAAAAAATCCAGCTCTTACGTGGTGACGTCTTAAAAAAAAAAAAGTGGGTCTTTCTTACAAAACCACCTCAAAACATGCCCATAAATATTGGAGAGTAATGAATATCTGCAGATAAACAACATCCATATCATTTTTGTAGATCAACTGGACCTCTATATGGTACTGTTCATTTTTAAATCTTAAAGTTTTGCGGCTTTTACCCTAATTCTCATTACCGCAAGGTGTTACTGCATATCATATAAGAAAACCTTGTATCTCCATTTTTCAGTTTTTGACATAATTTGAAAATACCTGTTGCTCTTTACATTGTGTGTGAATTTCATGAAGAATGAACTAAAAGAAACAGCCCAAAACAACGCGGAAAGAGGTCTGGTTCCGTTGACTTACATTAAAAGTAAAGCAGGTTTTTTCCTTCTCCTGTAAACGTATCATTTTGGAGATACAAGGTTTTCTTCTGACAACAGCGAAATGTATCTCACCGCTGATATTTATCACTTTTATTTATTTTATTTATTCGTTATGTTTAACTGTTGAATCAATTTACTTAATGTTATTCTTGTAAACCGTAAGCATGTAATATAAAACAACAAAACACTATGTAGAAAGATAAACTCAGTGTCTTTCTATGTGTTGCGGTAATGAGATAAAATTACAGAACACTGTATTTTGCAAATTATACATAATTTTAATAATTTGCTGTAAATACTTATTCTAATAACAATATACAAATTGTGAAAAGCTGCAAAAAATATTTACAGATTTATCTTCAAATCCTGTAGTGTTGCGGTAATGAGAATTTGGTCACTGAAATTAGAAAGTGTAAAAAAAAAAATTATATATAAAATGAATCATTTAGGTTTCTTGTTAATTACTCAAGCAGGCATAACTGTTTGTATGTCCAAATAAGAGAGAAAATGTTCAGTTTTAGTCATTGTAATTTTTCGGGTTGGGCCCCAGCTTCTGTCATTCGGGTTGGGCCCCAGCTTCTGTCAGTTTGTAAGAATAACCCACATAAGGTTTTATTTCCACATCACTGCTGGAATATTCACAGGACGCTGGCCACGGCAGCTTTAGCTTGCTAATTAGCTTTTTTTTGCAAAGTTTCTCAGACTTCTCTGAACAGAGTGAAACAGTGGGCAACGCATAATTTTGTTAAAGCTGTGTGAAGTCTTGGACTGACCAGTTTACCAGTTTACAACAAAAGGGAAGAGGGGTGTGTGTGTGTGCTCCACTTACACTCCTACCTCGTCAGTCCACCTTGTAGATGTAGAGTCAGAGACGATAGCTCATCTGCTGCTGCACTGTTTGTGTTGGTCATCCTCTAGTCCTTCATCAGTGGTCACATGATGCTGCCCACAGGACGCTGTTGGCTGGATATTTTTGTTTGGTGGACTATTCTCAGTCCAGCAGTGACACTGAGGTGTTTAAAAACTCCAGCAGCACTGCTGTGTCTGATCCACTCAGACCAGCGCAACACACACTAACACACCACCACCACGTCAGTGTTACTGCAGTGCTGAGAATGATCCACCACCCAAATAGTACCTGCTCTGTGAGGGTCCAAGGGGGTCCTGACCACTGAAGAACAGGGTCAAAGGGGGCTAACAAAGTATGCAGAGAAACAGATGGACTACAGTCTGTAACTGTAGAACTACAAAGTGCACCTATATAGTAAGTGGAGCTGATAAAATGGACAGTGAGTGTAGAAAAAAGGAAGTGGTCATAATGTTATGCCTGATCGGTGTGTGTGTGTGTGTGTGTGTGTGTGTGTGTGTGTGTGTGTGTGTGTGTGTGTTATTATACACACAACTGACCGAATCGGAAAAAACGGTCAGTTGTTGTATACTGGAACATTATTCACAAGGCATACTTTGTACAAATATACTGTTTGCCTACAAGAGCATGATTTACTTAATTAGAAAGAAAACACGGTTCCCTGGGGCTTTAAAAATGAAACCTAACCGGATCGGAACCAAAATCCTGCGCTCTTCCTCCACAGTTATCGTCCCCAGAATCCAATTAGCACGCTCTCGCCTTGAGACAATGCAGGATGTTAAGTAAACACATCCAAAAAGTCCTCATCGTTTTGCTTACAATTTCACAAATAGTAGCTTCAGTTCAGCGAACTGTCCTATGAAAAAACACAATCAGCTGAAATGTGTTGAGAAGAGAACAGTCTTGCTGTTCAAGCCAACTGTAAGATACTTATTTCTTCTTTTTCATCCAGAGTTTGGGGTCCACACACTATGTGCTCCTTTAGACTGATTACTTCAGTTCTCCTTAGGACAACAGCGTGATCTGAGCACAGGCTGCTGTGCTGCTCCTTCTCAGCAGTGTTCATGGTCAGTCTGATAGGGAGCAGTTCTGAATGTGCCCTCCCGCTCACTGTGACTGGTCAGCGCAGGCCTCCATAGGGCTGGCTGCAGCCCCCTCGTCGTTGCTGCTGTCCACTTCCTGCTCCATGGCGGCCTCCTCATCTAGGCGCTGGCTGGTGTAGTCGGTGATCTCCAGAAAGCCACTGGGCTCCACCACCACATTCGACTGACTCGAGTCCGGCATGATGGAGTACTGGGGGATCACCTGCAAGACAGGTATTATCCATTTATAACCAAACATTCCATTTAATTATTAATTTACTAACGTCACTCTTACTCTTACACACGTCTACTATTACTCTGAACTAGGGCTGCACCGAGACAGATTCTGGCGCTGGCGATGGGGATACCGATACCACAAAGCAATTTCTGACGTTCATGCAAAATCTTTAATGCTGGTATTTCAAAGGTAGTGGTTATATACCAGTTGGAATAGGTCTTAAACTGTTAGTTTCGACGATCAGCTGCATCGGACAGCAGTGAGAAATACGCAGCTGGACCACAGCAACTGACAGCGCGCATGACTGTTATTTACCAAACTCCAGGAAATTTTTATTTAATATCAGGAAAAATTTAAATAGAGTTAGTATCAGTACACACAGTTTCGAGCGATACTTAAGCATCATGTATCGGCATCGGAAGAGAATAAGTAGTACTGATGCATCCCTGCTCTCAGCGTTAACCACAGAAGGTCCAATTCATAAAAGGTTACCAATTCTTACAGTAGAGTTACTAAAGAGCTTCTGTAACACTCAATAAGGCCAGAAACAAACCCTTCACTATGCACAAGTGACACTGCTTTAAGCCTTTGCATACCAATTTCACACATCGTTGCATTTTAAAATGCATCACCTAAAAATCAGGGATGTGAAATTCTGACTAATTTCTTCCCCCCAATTTTTTAATACACATAAAGAGCGGAAGTAAAAAAGAAAAAAGAGAAACAGAACAGAAAAAAAAAAAAAACACAGCAAATCAACTCATTTAACTGTAAATTCATCTCATTTAACCATCTCTTTTAACAATTCTAGTTTAAAAGTATTACCTTTTTTTGGCTGCAATACTAGAAACAATTAGGGCCTGTTTTTCATTAGAGAGCTCAACCAAATTTTATAGTTGTTTATCGGTAAGAGCTCATGAACGGATATCTGGTAAAGCACGGAGTAGGAAAAAAAAACAATACCAAGAAAAGAAAAAAACTAATTCTGGTGGAAATTATTCCATCACGCAGCGGAATACATTTCAAAACACGAGTTATTATCCAAAAATGAAAATGTCAGATTAGTAACATAACGGAGGCTGCCTTAGATGAGCTAATGACCTGAAACTACAGCCCACTGCTACAACACTAGACGCTGATAGAGACTTGTCATCAGATGCTTTCTCTTCTTCAGTGGACAATGCCAGTCTGTCAGCTCACTGATTCTCGAGCTACTATCAGGCTCAAAAGTTGTGCTTTCTCTGCCTTCTCAGCCACATCCTTAACGATGTGCCCTTGACAACCCATTCATATGAAGGCACTTGCATTTCGTAGTAGCAAAGAATAGCACACTCACAAATACAAGCAACATTTTTACAGCTGTTGGTCTGTATATTGTCTTTGTCTTCCAATGAAGAAACAGAATGAATACCCAAATAGTGACTTTAGTATTCAAACCCAGGCACCACAGGAACGGCTGACCGAGTACTCGAGTACCCAAGCTCATCAGCTTATGTAGCATAAACTGTAGTCCGAGTATTGCAACAAGGGGTGTAACAGCAGGTGTAACAGGTTGAACCTACAACTCCTACAGAAGTACAGCAGCTCACACTCTGCAAATATAGACCTGTTTATTATTGTTCTGGCTATTGGAATAACAGCCACTTCACAGACACTTTGATTGCTACTCTACTGCCCCCTTGAGTAGTGAGGCTTTTAATCTAGGCCTTCCTATGACTGCATTAATGATGGTGGCATGCTAACTGTGGTGATGGGTATAACTGTACATATTTACATTTTTTTGTCCCACAAGAGCACAGTTAAGTGAAGCTCGTTTCAGATGAAGGTCAAGCGAAGGTCCGGAACATCATAATGTCTAACTTGCATTATGATTCAATGCCATATACTGTTTACTGAAGTAGCCTAGTAGGTATATCAACATCTTATACGGTCAACAACTGAATGTCAAATCAAATAAAGTACAATTCAGTCATATTTCAACAACATTTATTGTCAGTTTTCTCTTTTTAGAGCGCACAATGTGAAATAACTTCCCTCTGACTCACTTTCTTGTCCGACTGCTGTTTCTCGCCTCACCCCTCCACTGTGTGTGCGTCACTCGCTCAAGTCTCAGTGCTCATCGTAATGCACAGATCTGATTGGCTGAGTAGCGTCAGGTGTGATATTTACAACGCATGTGATTGGTTTGGGGGTCTCGCGGGCCACTAAAGCTACCATATAGGCTAGAGAAGTTATGCCGATTAAAATAGGACCACCCCGTCGAAATTTAATAATTCTCCTTAGTTTATCAGTTATAGGTCCAGGTCGGCGTAGGACAGCGTCTGGGTCCGGACTCGGGCCGCGGTCCGCCTATTAGTGACCTCTGCGCTCCTGTGTTATCACTGTGGCCCAGTGATGGGCAATCCGGTTCTTTTCAATGAGACAGATCAATTGGCTCAGCTCACAATTAAGAGTCGCCGATTTCTGCTCTCAAACGGCTCTTCATCCTTAGCACTGTCACCACTGAAAAAAAAAAAAAAACTTTTGCCATGTTATCGATCATTTAACTGTCAATAAGATCTTAGTCTTCCTTCTAACGAGCCGGTTTGGAGATAATGAAAAATGTTCCAAGGAGATCCAAGAGGAGAGTCCTGTGATTTTCAGCTATGAGGTCACAAGATCTACCCCATTTACTTTGTCTTAAAAAAAATAAATATTAAAAAAAAAAACAAAAAAAAACAAAACAGAACAAAAAACCTCTCTTCAACGTAAGTCTGCTGCCAGTGTTCTCTCAAAGAGCCGTCTCATTCACAAACCTCACATATATCATCCACATGATGTACTTCCTGTGTCTCCTGCATTAGAACACGTGTATATTTGTGTTGGGTGAGCCTCTGGTCTAAGACTGCTTACACAGAAAACCACACGGGTTTGCCTACCTGTATCACGTCCAGGTCTTTGCTCTTCTGGAGCCGACCGAAGGCACCGTGCGTGTGAGAGTGTGTGTGTTTGGAGCTGCTGATGAGGGGGGAGGCTGACGCCGTTTTGGTAAAGGGGCTGCAGTCGCTGGATGAGTCGACCACCATGGACTCTGCACTCGGGTCAATCTCGGCCTCCATCATTGAAATCTTCAGGATGTCTGACACGGACGGTTTCTCGGCCGCACCCAGGCCTGAGCTTGACTCCGCTTGAAGCTTAGCCGCTGCCTCGCCGCTGCTGGACACGGGTGGACACTGGTGACTTCCGAATGTGATCTTGGTGACCGCAGCGCCCTGCGTGATGATCGGCTGCTGCACCTGAGACACAGAGAGAGAGAGAGAGAGAGAGAGAGAGAGAGAGAGAGAGAGAGAGAGAGAGAGAGAGAGAGAGAGAGAGAGAGAGAGAGAGAGAGAATTTCTTTAGAAACTAAACTTGCTTATCCTCAAAGATGTACTTGCATTTTATTCCACTGCAACTGCATTGAATTAGCTGCTGAGTCCTCAGCCTCATCAGTCTGACAACACTTGATTTTTAAAATTTTTTTTTTGTTCATCAATGTTCTCTCACTACAGTACCCAGCATGGACTATGCAAATACATCAAATAACCACTGGGAATCCCTGTGGTGTCAACCATTCATCAATGTTAGCTTAGTCGCTGATGTAAACGCTAAAAAATAGCATTAGTCTAAGTTTCACCTTAATTAACATCATAAAGAGAAAAATGATTCTATTTTTTTTTTTTTTGCACAAAACGGAGGTTTCACCCTTTTAGCCAAAGAAGCCGAACTGAGTTAAGGCATCAGGGGTTCTCAACCATTTCCACCCCAAGGTCCACCTGTGTATAACCACAAAGCATAGCAGCCCACAGGAAAACTTAAACCAGCTTTTTTTAAATACAACTTTATTTTTCTTTTCTTAGATGCTGACACTGAAAACCCGAAAATCAGGTTCAGAAAAAGAAAGATCAGATTGGCCATTCTGACTGTCAGCAGGTTTGCAAAATTTGCAGGCATGTTAAAAAAACATGAAACATGTTAAAATACCACATAGTTGAAGTGCTGATAAAAAGGCTGAAAAAAAAAAGAAAGAATAGAAACATACAAGGTAGATGAGATCTGGAGCTGCAGTCGATCGCGTTTTCACTAAAAAACTCCTCTGGCTCTTTCAAAAGAGTAAATGTTTGGTCTTGAGATGTCTCTCTAGATTTGAGGGTTTTAGTGATTCATTTGAGATAAATGACACTCCACTCACTGGGCTTTTGGATTAGCGTCGTCACAATCCACAATAATGGTAAATCTTACTTGACACTTGCTTCTTTGTCATCGGTTTATCAGTTTGAGTTTAACCACTCAGGTCGCTGTTGCTCAGCCAAATATATGCTCCACGATTCATGAGTTGAAATCAAACGCATCTTTTCTCTATTATTTTATGGCTCGTCTATTGTTTCTAACAGCAGCTTGTGCTCAGTGTCTAAAGAGTCAGTTGTTAAAACAGTCATTATGCTGATTGTACGGTGCTGATGTGCCTCTAGAAAAGAAGGAAAGCCAGCTCTGTTATAAATTCCCTCATTTGATCACAGAGTGTGTTTCCATCAGCAGTGAACTGAACAGGGTTCGGTTTAAAGCAGACAGAGAGCGGCGGGTTTCATCTAGACCGGTTCAGCTGTTTGCTGCAGAGCCGAATATGGTTGGAGTGGTCACACGTGTCAATTTCGGAGTGAACTAAAGAAAAAGGTGTGATAAGTCTTCACCAAACAAAGCGCCCTGAGAAACTTCTCCATCTCTGACTCGCTGTCTGCATCGTGCACCCGTGGCTGCGTAGTTTCAGACTGATGGCGTTTAACTAGCCACTACTGCAACGTTTTTATTTGAACGTCTCTATTAATATTTCTATATACTTACAGTGACGTTACCGGCCCACTACGGATTACTGCCTCCCTCTGAGCACGGGCCCGCAGACCACTAGAGGGTGGTCCGTGGCCCACAGGTTGAGAAATGCTGATCTAGATAATCCACTTTAGCTTTTAGCTTACTGTCTTTCTCATTTGATGAGCCATTTCTGTTATTTGAGTAATCCACTGTCTTTTCTGTAACAGTGATTTGAACGGTTAGTACAGTTAGACGGCTACAATAAGATATCCAGCTTCCTAGCAGTAACATTAGCTATCTGTCTTCCTGCGTTTGCTATCTAAAAAACCAAAGTTAACCTCAAAAATCTTACTCTCATCAGTTGAAGTTTTTTCAATAGTTCTTTCAAAAGTTCTTCAAAATACATTATTAGAACCTACATCATCATTTCACTTTACAGACTAGTGCTGCTCCGCTGCAGGAAGCGAGTAAGCATGTTAACAACAGATGTAGCCACGATTACACTGTTCATTTTGCCTGGAGTGTTTCTTTAACAGGTTTTGGCTGAGAAATAATCTGTTTAAAAAAAACAAAACAAAACAAAAAAAAAAACAAAGAGTAGAAAAAAAAAACATTATTCTCCAACTGAAAAAACACAGCAAATGTGGTTCCATTTATGAAGAAAGTAAACACCACAGCCTAATGAAGACATCTGCTAGTCAAAGTATGTACTTGTGCCTCATATCACAGACTTGTGTTAAAATGACGCTGGTCAAGACGTCCAGCACCAGATTCTTAGGGAAACTTTTACGTGTGCACTAACCTGGCTGCTACTGCTGGCTGTCTTGTCCAAGCTTACAGGGTGGTGGGCCTGCAACGGCGGTGGCTGGGACAGCTGCGTGTGTGTGTTGGGCCGGTTGTGTGAGCTTGGTGCCTGCTGCAGTTTGGGCAGCTGTGGAGTGTGGGGGGGTTTGGTGGGCAGGGTGTGCAGGGTTGGCTGCGCTGCAGCTCCAGAGGAGGCAGAGGAAGAGGGAGAGGGAGAGACGGAAGGTTTTGCAGCCGCTGCTGGAGCAGGGGGTCGTGGGCTGGCCTGCTCTGGTCTCTTGGAGGCCGGAGCTGCTTCAGCTGGGCCTGGGGCGGCTTTGCTGGGTGTGGGTAGGGCAGCGGGAGGCTTGCTGAGGGCATGAGGTTGGGTGCGGTGCTGCTGCAAGGGGGGAGGTGGGGGCTGGGCTGATCTGTAGAAGAGTCCGGTCTGAGGGTCCAGCGTGTCGCCCTCCAACTCGCCCTCCTCCACTACAGCCTGCTCCTCCAGCGGCCTGGCCTGCACTGGAGATGCAACCGCCTGCAATATTCACACACAAACACACTTAACATCATTTCTCACAGGTACTAAAACCATCACACAAACTGTGTGATTAGTAGGGGCGTAAACTGTGAGCTGTCAGTGATTTGATTCAGGATTTGTTGGTTTTGATATGATTCAAAAATTATTTTTGTGAATTAAGAACAACTTGGTATGATGCACTAAACAGAGACTTGATTCACCAATTCGATTTAACGATTCAAGAATTATTATAATAAATTAAAAGTATTAAGCAGGCTAAATTACTTGAACACAGATTCTAATTTACAATACAAACAAGATGTGTGCGGTAGTTGACTTTTTGCAGCGTGTCCTCCTTCATTTTTCACCATCATCTCTACAATATCATGATATCTAAGTGAAAACAAAGTGACTGGTGGGTGAGTTAAGGCACAAGTACACAAGTTAAACCAAAAACTCTGAACAGCAGCGCTTTTAGCCAACTTTACCTTCTGTGTGTGTCAGCATTATGTGACTACTGGCAAACTGGCTTGTCAAAGTCTCATAAAATTGAATTAAAACCTGAAGAGCTGTTCGTTTGTTTATGATCAGCTAGTGCCTGAGCAGAGGTTTGTGAATCTCTCGTGCTGCATTTCCTCCCTGACTCGTTTTCACAGATAGCTCATGAACGCTGCCTGAGTCACTCACGTGTTGTGCAAGTCTGTTTTTAAGATTACTTAATAACAACATGGTTTGAGGCAAGTGTGTGATGATCTAGGCATGTAGTTTGCACGACGCCAACTGGTGGAGTTTCAAAGAAAACTAACTAGAAAACTAAAGAACTAGAAACCAAAATGACTTGGCTGATTCACTACATTGATTTAGGGCGCAGGGGAGATTGTAGAAATTAGATTTTTTTGCTGCATGACATTGACACAGGAGCAAAATAATTACATAACAGTAAATAATGTGAGTAAATAACCACACGCACACACACACACACATACATACATACATACATAAAGTTATTTCAGTACCTGAGCGCTGTGTGTGGTAGTGCTGGTGGAAGGAGCAGCGCTGGAGCTTTTCACTGTGGAGGAGAGAGCTGATGACTGGCTGCTGGATGCAGACACTTCACTTCCTCCTGCAGTCTTCACTGATTTACCTGAACACACAGACAGTACAGTCTATATCACACACACTGCCATACTTTTTCACCATGCACCGAAAACCAAAACTTAAAATACAGAGCGATTAAAAAAAAGATTCCATATTTTTACAACAGTGAGGCATCTAGGAACCAATCACAATCCAATTGAAAGAGGGGGTCATAGAGTTTCTGACTGTCAGTGGAAGATGGCTCCCTTCAGTCTGGGAGGAGATGAGACCCCTGAGCAGAAAGCGTTCTGCGTTCTCCACTTCAATAAGAGGGAATCCGTCATAACTGCAGTGTGATTTTCATCGGCTGTGAAGCTCCAACAGCTCAGAGCGTTCGTTGTTGGTTCCACAACACTGGATGATCTCCGAAATCACACTGAAAGAGCCGTGAGTGCAGCGACACCCGACATGCTCAGTTGAGTATGGGATGAATTTGACTATGGCGTTGATGTCTGTACAGCTGGAGGAGGTTCATATTGAGCACTTGTAAAATTACATAATAAACTTTATGCTCATTTAAACCATTTACAGTTTACTGCATTGTTCTGTAATGATTTACAAGTGAAATAAATCATTTTGAAATCAGATGAATCTTTTTGAATCACCCTGTATGTTAAAAGTCAGGGTGTTGAACCAAGTCTACATTAAACAGGGACTCCCTCTTTGAGCCAAAGAAACTCACCTAGTGAAAGCTAACTACCAAACGAAAGCTAAAGCACCAAGCTACCTCATCTGTCTTGTCTGCTGGCCATCTGGCCATGCTAACATTCTGTGTGTGTATGAGAATGTCACCTTCTTCAAGGCATAATCACAGCAATCTCATTGAAGAGTGTTAGCAGCAAACAATAAAACCCGAGTCAATTGCATATTTCAGCCTTCTGCAATATCGGTAATGCAAAGGCTGACATGGCAATTATGCTTAAAGCATAGTTAAAGCACAATTATGCTTAAAGCTGGTGTAAAGGTGTAGTTGCATGGCTGCCAGGACAGCGAAGAGTACCTATAGTGCTGCACTCTGCTGGAGTTTCGGGTTCACCTGCAGCCTGGCCTGAGGGCTCGGGTGACTGCCTCCTTTCTGAGGCCATCTGGATGGGCACTGCCATCTGACTCAGATCAATGGTGTGCTGTCTGGGTTTGGCTTCACCCTTCTCCTTTGCTAAGAGACACACAACAACCAAACTACATGTTATTTCTTGCTCTAAATGAGGGACGTTTACAAATGGAGCAGCTTAAGTTAACACACCTGTGGTCTGCTGCAGCTCCAACAGGGCTTTAATGGTGGACGTTGCCGACTGAGCCTCTCCGCTCACATCCTGGTAAATGATAGTGGGACTCGCTTCTACGGCAACCTCCTGCTCAGCCCAATCCTGGCCTCTAGAGGTGATGACGTGCACCACTGGCTGGGCTTCTGGAGAACAGGGACAGAGTGCAGCTTAGAAACACTTCACACCAACAGAGCATCACTAACCATCACCCCCCTCAGCCCCGCCCGCTGAAGGAGGATAACACACGGAGGAATTTCAAAAGCATTTGGATATTTATATTAGAGACTTCTTTCTTATTACGCACAAATAACAGAAGTAGCAACTGGAAATTAGGTATATGAGGCTATGCTTAGTTAGACAGTCATATCTGTTTTTATTAGGGATGAATATGTGTGTCATGTACATATTTGCCCTTACAAATGTATTAAAACAGATAAAATGTAGTATTTTATGCACAGTAGCCCATCATCATCTAAACATTGTGCTCTTTCAGAGTACAATAAAACATACATCAAATTCTGGTATTTTAAAAGCAAATATCTGTACAATCCTAATTTTTATCCAATTTGGTTGCAGCTGAATGTGTGTAACTACAGGTTTCAACCAGCAGGAATCAAAGAAGCTGTAACAAGTAACAACTCTGCCTTCTACACTGTAGATTGGGGTTCAGTCCCTGCCTGCGTAAACACCCTACACTATACCAATAAGAGTCCTTGGGCAAGACTCATAACACTACCTTCGCCTATCTGTGTAAAATGATCAAACTGTAAGTCGCTCTGAATAAGACTGCCAAATACTGTAAATGTAAATTTAATGTAAAATTTATATTATTGGATTTTTAAAAATTAAATACATTATTAGTAACTGTGTCAAATATATATATATATATATATATATATATATATACACACACACACACACACACACACACATTTCTTCTGGAGAGCTCTTAAGATATTAACAACTTTTTTGAAAGCAGTGAAGCCTCTCACCGTGTGTACTGTCTGAGGACGCAGGGCTGCTTTCCATGTAAGAAGGAGAGTCATCCTTCAGCGCCCCCTCCTGACTGGAGCCTGGTACTGCACCTGCCTCAGCCCCACGGGACACCTGCTGCAGTGTCTCGGTGACCAGCTGCCTCGTCTGCTCGCTCACCACGGCCGTCTGGAACGCCATGGGCTTCGGCTTTATCAACACCTGCACAGCAAGGGATTCGAGTCACTCATCTGCTGGAAGGCAGAATTTTGGGACATTTTTTATCTCTATTAACAGGCTAAATGAATATGTCTGTAGCAGACCTGGGTCTTGCCCTGCTGGCCGTAGACGATCTTGGTGGGGATGATTTTAGTAGTGCTGGTCGGTTGCACTGCTGAGCCCAGACTCTTCGGCTGCGTTACTATCATCTTCGTGATCGGCCGAGATGCCGTGATGATTGCAGGCTTTGCTCCTGGCACTGCCTGCAGAGCTTTCTCCCCCTAACACACACCCAGATCAACACACACAGATCAACACTGGATCTTTGCTCCAACTATCGATTATCTCCCCACTTATCAGCCGTTTATTATAAAGGCACCAACTAACAGGCAGTGTGAAGCATGCATGTGCTTCCTCTGAGGCATCAGCAACCTCATCTGTTCCAACTGCTGCTCACACAACATAGCAGGGCAGCTACAAGGATGTTGAAGCTAAAGGACAGTGCTGACTGCCCAGTTCGGTAAGCGTGTGTTCAGTCTATAAAACGTGTTAAGCAACAGTGGCTACGGTTGTGAGAAACACAACAAATCTCTACCACAATGAAAAGGAGCATTTTATGGAAACTGCATCATGTTACTTAGATATTTATTCATTTAAAACATATTTAATTAATTTTACATATAGAAAACCCTGTTGGGGGAATGCCCTGGATGGTGGTGCCTTTCCCTGTGGTTTTCTGATATTATTTTTACTGCTCTAAGTGTAATTATACACTTACCTACGTTTGTGTTCTTGTTTACAGAAGTCACAGGGTCACTTTTGCTCTAAGTGTCCTTTTATTATTATTTTTCTTTTTTCTACATTCTACATAAAACGTGGTCATGTTATGCTATGTTATGTGGTAATATGTTAAAAATAGTAAATAAAAATAAAAAGTAATAAAATATATATATATATATATATATATATATATATATATATATATATATATATATATATATATATATATATATATATATATATATATATATATTGCTGTTGTCGGAAAAAAGCCTCGTATCTGTACAGGAGAAGCAAAAAAAACCTACTTTACTTTTAATGTAGGTGAATGGAACCAGACATTTTGGGACATTTCTTTTGGTCCATTCATCATGAAATTTACATACTATGAAAAGGGTAACAAGTATTTTCAAATTATGTAAAAAAAACTGAAAAGCGTCAAAGGTTTTCTTCTGACAGCAGCGATATATATCCATGCCATACAGCCCTAGACTCATCCTTCTGACCAAGAGAGCAGGGCCAATTATGCTCCCTTGGCTTCTGAACCATGATCTTCAGGACTCCCAGCAATAGGACCCAACCCTCTTAGCCAGTTTTACCACTTAGAAGCTCACATGCATATTACTTGAGTCAAATCAATGCCTTGACAGGACCAGCCGCTTCAAACAAAACACAAATCACTTCTGAGAAGAAATATAGTTTACAGGTTATTAATATGATCTTACCCCAGCATTTAACAGCGTGGTGACCACGTTCTTCCCAGGCAAGCCCTGAATGGTGGTGCCTTTCCCTGTGGTTTTCTGAACCACGATGACATTGGGTTTGGAGGTCATGGGAATGGTGGTGATCTTTGTGGTGGTGCCTGTCGTTCAGAAGTGCAGAAATCATAAGACACAGGAGTTTACACAGATCAGCTACTAAAGTTAAAGAACTTCTCCTAAAATCATCTTACCAGACACTATGTTGGTGCTGATGATCTTTCCCCCCAGTGTGGCCAAAGACTTGGGGACCACTGTAATGATGCTGCCACTGGTGGTCTTGACGTAGGTGGCCCCGGCTGGTGATGTGGCCATTCGGGCTCCGATAGTGGGGCTGACTGAGGGCCGGGTGTACGTGGCCTGTGTCCCTGTATACACAGAACACACACTGGGTCTCTACCGACTCTGAGACACATTTCATTTCTTTTTTTATTTTTGCACTTATCAGACTGGAATCGACTATGTTTAGAATTACATTTATAAATAGAGACCGTAAAAAGAAAGTAAATTAAAAAGCAGTTAACAAAAAAACAAAGAAAACATAAATAAAGGAATTACTGAGTCAATAGCTGGGTTTCCATCAATCTTTTTATCTTTTATGTGTATTTAAAGACTTGATTTCAAACAGAATCGCCAAACATTCAAAATTTGGCATGCTTAGATACACGGATAAAAAATGGATACATTTTTGCCTATAAAAATGAAACACATTGTGATGCAAACACAACTGCCAGATAAATACTGCAACTGAAAATTAAAAAAAGGCGTATGACTGATCAGGTGACGGAAATTAAAACCAACCATTATCTTATTAAATAAACAAAACATAATTCTGATTAGTTCCAACAGTGTTTAAGCTAAGACTAAAGTAAGACCAAAACTAACTGGTAAAACTAACCTGTAGGGGTAGAGACCAGCTTTGTAGTCATGATGGCTCCATTACTGCTGACCACCATGATTGGAGCAGAGCTGCTGCTGGGCATGGCTGCACTGGAGGGCTTCGGTAAGATCTTACTGGGCTGCATCTGCTGTGTGATGATCTTCACACCTACACACACACACACACACACACACACACACACACACACACACACACACACACACACACATTTAAATGAAATAACCATGACAACATATGGCAAACAAATGAGACGAGATTCAGATTAACACTTAATTAATCCTTAAAGTCATTTGTATTAATTTAATGCTGCACTTTGTAAGCTTTTTTTGTAAAAATGTTAAGTAGCAGCATTATGGAGAAAGAGGGAAGGAAAAAAATGCTGCTGTTGTGAGTCACTCTGTAAAGCCTGAAATGATTATTTAGGCCCAATCCCATTTCTTCTTTTTACCTCTACCCCTTGTTTTTGAGTGCCACCCGGACCGTCTTCAGTGATACCAGAGAACGGAAAAGTTCAGCTCCTCACTGCTGGGCTTTAGTTACATTTAGGGCATCATATGCTTTCAAAGAGGGGGGCAATTATTTATTATCACCCTCCCCTAATTTTTCAGTGATATGAACCTTAAGTCAGATATTCACCAGCTTCTTGTTTGAATTTTCCCGTTCCACTTTAAATGGTGCAGCAGTTACATTCTGGCGCTTCAGGCGTCAGAACTGCTGGACTATTTAAGGTGGAACGAAAAAGTTAGCTAGCTAGTTAGCTCAGCATATTATTTCCGCTTTTTTATGCTTGTTATGAAGAAAACTACCATAATACACTGAAACGACTCTAAACTAAGATAATACAGAGGTTATCGTAATTTTTAACTGAGAAAATTCTCACATTTGTGGGTTTCTTTGGTTTCTCACGCAGCCATTTTGCCGGTTTTTCTTTTTTCCTCATAACACTGTTTGGAGTCTCTGAAAAACCTCTGTTTGGAGGGCCATGTAGCCCCAACACTTCGCCCTACCCTGCATCTCAACTAAAATTGGGACACTCTACTCCTAGACGTGAACGCGCAAAACAGGGGCTAAGGGCTAGGTGGTAGGGGCAAGGGGTGAAATGGGACTGGGCCTTAGTCAGAGGTGTCACGTTGGATTTTGCAGGTGTTTTTTCGGACCACATCATACCGCTTTACGTATTAACATCTCACACACACTGGCTCAAAAAGTTGTCTCAATATTTAGGTCTCAAATTCAACATCAACAAAATATGTTGAAAATAGTACATAATTTACTTATATCCTTAGAAGACAAGTCCTACAACAAGTTTTGACTGAGTTCTCTTGGTATACTCTCATCACGCTAACAATTAACAGATTTTTCCATTCGCAAATGGTTTGAAACATGACTGATGTTACACAATGTTGTTCCTCACATTGATTGCAATTACACATTTCCACCAGAGAGGTCTCCAAACCCCCTAAACATACATATTGCAACTTTAACAAGATCAAGCTACGATAGAGGTCTTGTCATTTGGGTCATACATTGCTGTAGATTATCCAAGTACTTGTGTCGACCTGCAAAAACCGTAATGAGTATCTACTAGTTGAATGAAAGTTGGCTGTCTGGACAGGGATTAAGCCTAGTCCTGGACTACACAACGTTCTGAATGGAGGGTCTACATTTAAAGGACTATCCTTAACCCCTGTCCGGTAATACCAACCCTATATGTAAATGTGATGGAAATTCAGGAATCAGCCCTGGTTCCTGATCTACCTGCAGAAAAACTGGGTTCTGACCTGATTCCTGTTTGATCTGAATGGTGGGTTTGGAACCCGAGGGTGTGCTGACGCTCTGAGTAGAGGAGGAGATGGGCGATCCCTGCAGCCCTTTGGGTGACTGGGACTGCTGAGGCTGCTGCTGTTGTTGCTGCTGCTGCTGTTTGGGGAACTGGAGAATCTGAGAGGGAGAGCCCACCAGAGCCTTGGGAGAGGGCAGTCTTGCTGTGGCCACCTTCACTGCTGCAGAGGAACCAGCTGAGTAAAATTAAATTAGATTATCTTACCTTAGATTAGATTAACCTTATTCTCTACCACAGTGAAAATCTAACTTCTAGCTTCTCCCTATGTGCACACAGAGTAGCCTACAAACAACACAAATGCACACTGAAAACATACAAAACAAGCAGTAGTGCACTTTAGCAATTCAGCAGCTGCACAGGGATGGTTGAGGAAGAAATATTTAATTATTTAACACATTTAAAATTCTACTACTGGTGTCTCTTACAGTAAGAAACTTGTTTACTCTAGGACAGGGGTTCTCAACCTTTTTCACCCTAAGACCCACCTGTTTATAACTATAAAGCATAGCGGCCCACAGAAAAACTAACATCAACTTTTTTTTTTAAATAGTTTTCTTTTTTTCCCCCTTAATTGCTCACACTGATAACCTGTGAATTAGCACCTGAAGAAGATCAGATCGTCCATTTCACTTCAATCACAGAAACCAAAATGTTAAAAAACATAACATGTTAAAAACAGGTTTGCAGAGATGTCAAAAAGGGTGAAAAAGAAAAAAAAAGGTCGATGTAGATGTGGACTGTGATTTGGAGCTGCAGTCCATCGCGATTTCCCTGAAAATACTTGTGTCTTTCCCACAGGAGAAATTGTTTAGTCTGGAGTCTCATTAGTTTTGAGGGTTTTAGCGCCTCGTTTGAAATAAACCTCACTCCACTCACGCTTTTGGATCAGCGTCTCTACAATCAACAATAATAATAAGGCTTACTTGATCTCTGCTTCTTTGTCATTAGTTTATCAAGTTGAGTTTAACTACTCAGGTCGCTGATGGTCGGAAATAAAACATATCTTTGCTATTATTTTATGGCTCGTCTGTTGTTTTTATGAGCTGCAGGTCAAACTGCATTAACGACATTAGAGCAATAAGTCAGACGTTAAAACAGGCAGATTATACAGTATACAGCGCTGATGTGCTGGTAGAAGAGGAGGAAAGCTGGCTCCACTGATGAATTTCCCTCGTTTCATCATAAAACGCGTCCCACCAGCAGTGAACTGAACAGGATTTGGTCAAGCAGACCGTGACACGTCAAACGGAGCGAACTAAAGAGTTTGATATTCATCTCTGGCTAAGACGGCTGCATTGTCTCAAACTGATGATGTCTAATTAGCCTGAGACTGTGATATTTTTGTGTATACGTCTCTACCGGCCCACTACGAACTACTGCCCTTTTCCAATAATGGAGTTATAACTACAATTCTACCTTATAATTAAAAGAAAGCCTAAAGCTCCTCTTCCTCCCGATGTAAGATGCATAAATTTACCATTATTACTTTCAGTGAACCTACCAGTGAAGATGTTTTCACATCCTACCACCTCCTTATCACCTCCCTGTTTCTCTCTCCTATTTCTCAGCCCAACCTTTGTTCATCAAAGCCTTCTACAGTTTGTCAGTGTTCAGGTAAATTCTGCTTTTCCAACTCTGATTACTCGATTACTCACCAACATAATTTGCAAATTAGTCATTGCTAACAACAGGCACACTGACAGAATAAACAATTCAATATTTTTGCTTCAAAAATGACTAATCTTTGAAATGAACCATTTATAATTAAAGCACAGATTACTCACAATTTTCTATATAATTCAATCTGAGAAGTAAATATAGTTATTCAGAGTGCTCTGATGAGAAGTGGTTCACTGTAGAGAAATTATCGACTCCGATTTATTTACAGTGTTGGTAAGAGGAACTAGGGGTCAGGATGTCTATGACGCAAATGCTGCATTTTATTTGCTATTGAAACCCACCAGTGAAACTCCATGTGTTCTGAGTCGTTATATGAAATTTTGGTAACGGTAAAATAGTGGAAAATATGATTCTTTAGGAATATTTTGGCTTATTACACATATATTTCCCTGCCTTCAATGGATTAAAAAACATGTTCTAGGCATTAAAATCACTGGATGTCTGGTTCCTATCACCACCACTGTGAACAACTCTGACTCTGCAGGTTTCTCTAGAATGGAGCATTTCACATCAAACCATTCTGAACTGGCGGAATTCCCCTTTAACCCCTTGTGTGGTGTTGGGGTCTGTGGGACCCATTTTCAATGTTTACCAAAAATAAAAAAAAGATGCAATTTTTTATTATTTCAGCCCCAGATTTCTTGGCCTTTGCTCATTTTCTGTGAAGATCATATGAAATAACACATTTTCAGTGTCTTCACTCTGTTCACCCCCCACACATTTATATTACACATGTGGTGTTGGGTGAACCTGCGGGGAATAAAAGTGTGGAGGTGCTGTGTCCTTCACTCTGTTCTCCTCCTACATGGCCTGCAGTGTGTCTGTGTGTGTATGTGTTTGTATATGTGTGTGTGTGAGGGTAGACAACATGGACAGGCTGCTGACTGGCTACAGCTGCTAAAAGAGAACCCTACGCTGGACACTTGTGATATTTTAAACATCTGGTATTTTTACATAAATTGTTACGGCTGATTAATTAAAAAAAAACAATCATATGGTGGGTCCACCAGACCACTGAGTAACATACACATCAACACCACACAAGGGTGAAGCTAAGCATCTAAAATTAAGCTATCAAGTACTCAAACATTCTACTCCTCTATTTTTGGCTAGATTTGTATTTGGATTCATTAAATTTTTTTCCCCTCCGATATCCATCCAGCATTTTCTGCTAATATTGGCTCAACATTAACATTATTTGAGATCTCGAATGCTTACACAAACATTTGCATATTTGTTAACTTACTTTGTGCCATGGTGGACATGACCACTGCCGGGGTGGAGGACACCACAGTTGTCACGGCAACAGGACTGGGCCCTGGGGCATTGCTGGTGTTTGCTGATATCACCATGGTCTGCTTCTGATTGGTTGACGTCAACATGGAGCTGGAGACCAGCTTAGACATGGCTGCGTAGTTATGTGACTTAGAGAGGATGTTGGGCACAAAATTGGAGCTCGGAGACGTAGTTACGATAATTACCTGAAGAAAAGAAAAGAAAGAAAACCAGTTGAGCTCAAACAGAGCAAGGCTCCTGTCATAAAGAGAAAGAGAAGGAGGGCAAGTAAGCTTCCTGACCTTCTGTGTGGTGGTGTTTGTGGTCTGCGTGGTGGGCTTGGTGAAGGTGATCTTCACTGGGGACATGTGGGGGGGCAAAGAGTTGGCGATGCTCTGCATCAGATTACTCATTTTGGGGCTGCTGCTGACAGGCACGGTGATGGTCTTTGAGATGGGCGGGGCCACTTTAGGCACCTCCTTCAACAGCACAGGGGAGGAGCCAGAGGAGTTAGTGCGGCGACGTTTACGAGGCTTTTCATCCTCATCAGAGCAACTCACACCTGAGAAAAAGACAATATTTATTACAAAAGAAATCGTTTGAGTAGTCCTAACCGTTCCCCAACCGACATACACACTACCATTCAAAAGTTGCTGGGAAGCAGAAAGTATGAGGTAGTGTATAAAACTGTTAAATTTCAAAATTTTCCAATTTATATAGTCCATATCTGCAAACTAAGCTGCAAAAATAACCTGTTTTTAGTTCACTGCTTTTGTGATGTCAAACCATCACTTTTACATACATCTCCCTATCGAGCACACAGCAGTTACCACAATCCTGTATTGGCACAATACAGGACAACCAATCACAACAGAGATCATATATAATACCAGCCTGTTTAATTCTAAGGCATAAAAAAGGTAGAAAATGGTCATTTATACAACAGTTAGTTCTGGCCATGCAAGCTGATTGGTTGAGAGGCGTTCTAACTGTGCTGTTATTTTGCCACAACAGCACAATTTTTTCACAAACACTGTATCACTTTGCTGAGACGCCGCTGCTAAACAACGACTTTGACAGCTGTAGGAGACGCTCAAGCCATTTGAACATTTTTTACTTCTTACTTTGCCCCAAACAGAAAATGGATACTTTTAAGATCACATTTGACCAACAGCCGATTTGGTCAGACTCTGAAGATGAGGCTACGCTAATTTCCCAAACTGTCATCACCACTGAGCAGCTTTTCAGTCGGCAGCTGTGACAGAAGGACAGCTAAACAACCTGGAATCAGCCAGAAATGAACCCAACACCATTCGCCAAACTAAATGGGCTGTAAGATGTTTTACAGTCTGGCTGGAACAAAACAACATTAATACTGATCTGGCAAAAACTGACAAAACTGAGCTAAACTTGATATTGCGGCAGTTTTATGGCTCTGAATTGGTCTGACTCAAAAGACGAGTCTACAGGCTTGGCCAATGGTACTGTGTTTATTTCTGGCTGATTCCAAGTTGTTTAGGTTCTTGTGTCACAGCTGCCGACTGAAAAGCTGCTCAGTGGTGATGACAGTTTTGTAATTTAGTGTAAGGAGCTGGAGAATAAACTGCTGGCTGTGCAAAAAGCTGCTTGTTAAGGAACTATAATTTGGTGAAGGAACTGCGAACATTAAAACATATTAAACGCCGCGTTCACAGCCCAGTTTATTAATTTATTACTTTATTTATTTAACTGTTGTATAAAAGCAATAGAACACTTGAGGTCGTGTGTTATCGCGAATAACATCACAGCTGTGATGATCTACGGCGACCAAATCACAGCCGTGATTTTATTTTGCGATAACACACTCCCTCTCATGTTCTATCGCTTAAGTAAAAATGAATTATGACTGTTTTGTTATGTACAACCACACATCAGCAGTGGAGTTCAAAGAAAAATGCATACAAAAATGAAGGGTGCTGTTATTTCATTCAGTTTGAACTACACTGTGGATTAAATAGTATATACGTATCATAAGGTAATTTAAGGTTTTTTTTTTTTCAATATTTCACATTTTTAAGGAGTTAGTGACATTTTTAGATATTTATTAAACAATAAACACTACATTGGAAATAATAACAGTAAAAGAAATAATATACTGTATAAATAATACACCGTTAGTTTTAGTATATATAGAATCATTACTCCAGACACACCTAACAAACAAGCAGAGAAACTCTCTTCAAAACACAGAGTCTAATCTTTTGTTTGTTATTTTCTGACCTCTAATAAATGGAAAAAGTCAGAAGTGCAGACTCAAAGCTGTTGATACAGAATCTAAAATAATTTTAAGTGTAATTCATTACATTATTAATTACTTAATGATATAATTACAGATAAACAAGCAAATATCGATAGATATATCAAGCAAATCAAACATATAGCAAAATACCATTACCAACTAATAGTTAAAACAACAACTAACTACAGTTTAATGACCAAGCAGTGAACAAATGGTGGGACGAATCATTTCGCAAATACAACAGTCAGTGATTGACTTACTCTTTACATAGACAGTGCTACCACTGGGTAGGACCACCACATTGGAGGCGGGGCTGGCAGGCCGGGGAGATTTGACTGCAGCTGCTGTGCTGCCGCTGGGGGCAGAGGCGCTGGGGGGCGTGGCAGTAGTGCTGGTGTACGAGTAACATACCACCACTGCAAAAGAACAACACTTATAAAACAACATCACCAATGCAAAACTTTCTCAATGCAAAAACAAGGAAGTTTTTGGATTAAAGTTAAGATTAAAAAAAGTCTGAGACAAATCAAAGTATAACTTCATTTTAAAATTTTAGGTTTAAAAATCTGATGCTTTTTAATACCTTTTTAAGACCTCAACATAACAAAAGGAAAATCATTTGAGCCGCACAACAGCACACACAAATTCAAACATGGCATGAATTAAAGTCCATTTTATTGAAGCTGATTAGTTGTACAACATGAATATATGCTTGCAGTTTGCATGACCTTTACATGGCCTTCTCAGTGACTTTGTTATCAGTTTTGCAGTCCTTCATCTTGTCATAACTGGTCAGATTCTGACCACGGGACAGCTGTTGGCTGAGTAGTTTTGGTTTCCTAACTGTTCTGAATTAGTTTAATATATATAAAATGACCTGCTCTTAAGGAATCAACTTATTACTGAACTATGGATGTCCTGATTCAGCCCCCCCTCCCCAACCTCCAATCACATTTGAGTCCTTCAATATTTAGGATCAGCTTAGACTTCATCTAATGCAATCTTAGGTGACTTATGTTAGGCTGCCAATAAAAACTACAGTACAATTACTTGGTTTTGTCACAACAAAGTAATTCTACTTTTTAGTATGGGCATAATGTGTCATACTGGACTGATAAGCTTAGATTTTGGGAACGTGAAATTGAATTGAATTTGAAAAAAAATAAATTGTGCTGGTTGGCACACTATGAAATAATATATTTACAGTTTTTTTTTGTGGAATACTTCTGTGGGAAAAAAAAAACTCCATGAATACACTATGATTTCATATTGCTGTCACAGGTGCACTGAGGCGTACCTACCTCTCAGTGTTGAATGCACTGTTTCTGCTTACGGCGGTTTAAAACAAGGAATGGCCTGGCTATCCCTAAATTAAATACCTCTAATAGTAAGGCCCAATCCCATTTTACCCCTTGCCCCTACCCCTTATCCCTCTGTTTTGCGCATTCACGTCTAGGGTTAGGGTGTCCAAATTTTTTGTTGAGATAGAGGGGTAGGGTGAAGTGTTAGGGCTACATGGCCCTCCAACTGGAGGTTTTTCAGAGACTCCAAACAGAGAGTTATGAGAAAAAAAGGCAAGACGGCTGAACAAGAGACCAAAGAAACCCACAAATGTGAGAATTTTCTCCATTAAAAATTACGATAACCATTATATTATCTTAGTTTAATGTTGTTTCAATGTATTATGGTCATCTTCTTCATAACAAGCATAAAAAATAATAGTTAGCTAATAGTATGCTAATGTCTCGGTAACTGGCTAGCTAACTTTCCCGTTCCACCTTAAACAGTCCAGCAGTATTGAATGAATGTAACTGCTGCACCATTTAAGGTGGAACGGGGAAATTCAAAACAAGAAGCAGGAGAATATCTGACTTCAGCTTCGTATCACCAAAGAATTGGCGGTGGGCAATAATTAATAAATAACTGCCCCCCCCTTGAAAGCATATGATGCCCTAAATGTAACTAAAGCCCAGCAGTGAGGAGCTGAACTTTACCCTCCTCTGCTGTCGCTGAAGACGGGCCAGGTCACCTACAGAGCAGCGCTAGTAGCTGTTAATGAAGCAATGTTCTTTTGAGGTTCCCATTTCGTAGGGCAAGATTTAAACCACTAGCCCTTGTAACTCCATTCCAAGGGGTTAGGGTGACACTCGAAAATAAGGGGTAGGGATAAAAAAAAAAATCTCTTCCACCATCCAGTGTTTTTCTGAGCCAGAATAAAAACTTCCCTCTTTCTCTGTATCTGAGTATTTACCTTCCTTGTTGCCGGTCTCTGCGGGGAGAAGCAGTGAGGCATTCTGATGTGCTGTGGCGTTGGCCACTGCATTGGCTGTTACAGTGAAAGCCGTCTGAGGCACCAGCCTGGGCATCAGAGGGACCAGCCTGCGCCCCTCAATAGACCACTCCGAAGAGCTGTTCGGCCCAGACATACTATTAAAACAAACAAACAAATAAACAAGTTAAAAACAAAACAAGAACAAATAAGTTACTGGAAAGAAACTGACAGAATTTAAACTTTAGCTGCTGAAAAACATGCGGTTAAGGCAAGAAGCGACAATCTGCTTCACTGAAAGGAGTTTGCTGTCTTACTGGTACGCGATGGTAGTGAGACGCTCATCGTTGACTGCTCTGCGCACCTCCGCCCGATGCCGCTCAGTCGAGATGCTGTTGAAAACGAGACACATCAGGAGGTTTTTCACACAGCAGGATTATCAGTTAACTTGATAAGGTATGCCTGAAGTGAGGAATCCAATAGGAATGTACAGAGGTGGGTAGTAATAAGTTACATTTACTCAGATCCATGTACTAAAGTAAAAATGCGATAAGTAACCAGTACAGCTGATACATTTTTACTCCTACTCAAGCTGTTTTTGCGAGGCTACTTTTACTTCTACTCGAGTCATTATTTAAATGAAAGAATAGATCTTTTACTTTTGATTTGTCCAATAGAAACATCTCTCATCTTTATCCTACTGGACCAGGGTGGCTATGGGCTTAAACTGTCAGTCTAACTGAAAAATTCTGGTCGACAATTGAGTGTTAAACTCTGAGTAATGCTCCAGAAATAGTGCTCTGAGAAGCTCCTATCTTCACTTAGGAAGACAGTCGAAGAACATGTAACTTACGACCACTGTCTTTGATCTAGCTGCTTTTAAATGTCTAGTTTCAATGTCAAGCAATCTATTAGATCTATTAGACGCTGTCCTATGGGGACCTGGACCTATAACTGATAAACTATAGAGAATTATTTTAATCGGCATAACTTTTCTAGTCATTACGGTACTGCTTTAGCAGCCGGGAGACTCACAGACCAATTGCATGCGTTGTAAATATCACACGTGACGCTACTCAGCCAATGAGATCTGTGCATTACGATGTGTGACGCACACACAAGGTGAGAAACAGTAGTCGGAGAAGAAAGTGAGTCAGAGGGGAGTTATTTATTGCTCTAAAAAGAGAAAACGCACAATGAATGTTGTTGAGATATTACCGAATTGTACTTTATTTGATTTGACATTCGGTTGTTGACTACTTAAGATGTTGATATACCTACTAGGCTACTTCAGTTTACAGTATATGGCGCTGAGTCATGATGCAAGTTAGACATTATGATGTTCCGGACCTTTGCCTGAGGAAATCTTCTCTAACTAGACCTTACTGAATTTTAATCAGACCCCTGTATTAGATCTTTACCTTAGGACTTTGGTAAGTTCCCCCAGCAGATCTTTCTTATCCTTGGTTAGATCCCCCTGAGCGCGGAGGGCGCTGATCACTCCCGCGTACGCCTCCAGCTCTACACACACAAACATACAAACCAGAATATTTTACACACTCGTAAACGACTGAGACAGCCCTTGTTTTTGTTGTTTTGTCGTTGCCTTTACAGTGACAGCAGTGGAGAAAAGGTCAGACAGAAAAACTAGGTTTGGGTGATTTCAGGATAGCACTGTTGCGATGTCTCAACCAACCATGCGTTTCTGTTTTGAGACAGTGTTCGGAAACTTTGCCATGAGCAGGCTTAACAACGTGAAACCTGATGAGTCAAGACTCGGATTATCATATAAACGATTAGCCAAATATCAGCGTTTGCAAAAAGCACCAAATGCAAAGTTTCAGATGAAAGGACTGCACAAACATCATCTCAAGAGTCAATACAAAGTGGAAAAAGTCTGTTTAAAAGGTGAGTATTTAGCACCACCATGTGGCCAAAATATAAGGACTATATAAAATGTGGACGTACAGGGTCCATACCTTACATTTTGTCCTCATGACTTATGACATCTGTGTAGTTTTATATACCAAAAACAATCTTTGTTACTGTGCTCTTAAGACAGATTTATGTAAATGAACTCTGTTCTGACTGGCTGCCTTGTACTGTGCCAATTTCAAAAAGCAGTCCAAACTTAAAGACCCCTCATAACTTCAAAGTGAACAGGCGGGGCTAAACTGCTACAGGCAGAATAGATGAATATGTGTGAATGCAATGTTTTTTGTAACATCGCAAAAACAATTAATTAAAAACAGTTTGCAGCTTAATTTCCAGTTTAAAAAATAGAAGAAAATTGGTTTCCATGAAATTGGCTTTTTAAAGCTGCAAATTAGGTTTACAGACTTTCTTAATGAGAATGAGCATCACTTCTTTTCCCGGACATAAAAGTAAGCTTGAGTCCTGCTGTGTCAAGTTCTGCAGTGACACTGAATCTAGCACGATGTGGTACTTTAATACAGCAGGGATGAAACTGATCAGTGGAAAAAATGCCTGACTGACAGCAGTAAATCCCACCTCATTACACATCTTGATGTTTGATTCAACTGATATAAATGAATAACTATGACTAGTCTGTATCTGAAACATGCCTGATCTCCTTCAGTGGTAGAACTGATCCCAGCAGCTTGTTATATGCAGGTCATATTGATGCCTGGAAATTGAGAACAACAGACAGATGCTGCTGCTGCTACATAAACTCAAACTATCTAATCAACCATCACTCCACCTGTTTTTCCCCGTTTTGTATCCTAATATTTTATACTAATGTTGTTTGCTACCCAGTGTTGATCAGAGGAGGATGGGTTCCCCTTTTGAGTCTCGGTTCTTCTCAAGGTTTCTTCCTCTGGCTCTTAGAGAGTTTTTCCTTGCCATTGGCGACGCTCATGGGGGCTTGGACCCGGATTTTTCTGTAAAGCTGCTTTGTGACAACACCTGCTGTAAAAAGCGCTCTATAAATAAACTCTGACTTGACTTGACTCTGACAGTTCCACACACTACCGAAACTGCCACAGCCATTATAAAACCCAGTAACATTATATCGGCCGAGCGACAGAACTAGTCCGGGATCCGCTATGCCACTATTTCAGCAAATCCCGATCTAGGCTTTAATCAGAGCTTCATGCACATAATCGATCGGTCACATGTGGCAGTGCTGAGGGATTATAGAATAAAAGCCTCTCACCGAGCTTGCGCAGGATTCTTTTACACTGGTCCCTGCTGAGGTCGAGGAGTGTAGGCCACACCACCGGCATGGTGCCAGCCAACTGTGGCTTCTCCTGCTGAATCATCCACTTCAGAAACACAGAGAACAGACTTAACAATCAAACTGTCAATGATTCAAAATCAAACAAACCACATCGCAGTATAAAACAGACCTCAGGTTGGTCCTGAGGGTTAATAACTATTTCATATCTGCTGTGTAAGTCAAAGCTATGAGCCAAAGTGAGCACTCACCTCTGAGACACTGACCTCTGCTAGAAACGTTCACTCTTTACTGGACCTTCCAGAGGACCTTCAAGAAAACACCAAAGGGATTAAATTCACATCTGTGCTTTTTATTCAAGCAAAACCTGTTCAGTCAGCAAAAACAACAATGAGATGCTGTACAAACATGACCAGCCTGTAATTACAGAAGCAATAAAAAGGGTTTTGGTCCATCTGGTTTTCGATGTCTTTCCTGTACTGCAATGGAATTCCACCAAAATTTCTGCACAATTGCAACGTAAAGTCATTTAGATAGTTTTACAGTGAAACGCTCTGCTGCAGAGAAACTTAGCAAGTCAGAACTTCTCACAGTGGTGGTGATACAAACCAGACAAACTGAGTTTAAGGCCTTTAAAAGTTCCTCACAGAAAGTTATTATATCAAATGGTTATGAACACACTGCCTGATACCTGAGACACTGTTGTACAATAGTTTTCAGAAAAGGTTTTGGACTAAAACACATTTTTTTTTTAAATGCTTTCATGGTGGAGAGGTATCTGCAGGGCATAATGAGGCAAAATAGCAGCCCCCTAATTAAAAAAAAATAAATAAACATTATATATATATATATATATATATATATGTATACACACACACACACACATACACATATATTATTTCAGATTTCCAATTACTTTACATTTATCAACATTACACATCAAATCTCAGAAGACATACACGTTCTCTGGTCATTTCGGACAGTAAATAAAACTATATTTGTGTTGCAGACATTGTGACCCCTGGTTCCTATCACCATCACTGTAAAGAAAATCAGTCAGTACGTTTCTCTATTATGGACCACTTCACATTATACTGCTCTGAATGACTTTGTTTACATCTCAACCACTGAATCAAGCAGAGATAATAACAATAATAATTTAAAAATCCATGGAATCTCCCAGTTTCAGTTTCTTCTTCATAGAAAGCTTTAACCTTTTTAACTCCTTGGAACCACCGGTGGATCCAAAACGCACTTCTTCATATCCTTTACTTAATAACTTTCATATTTAATAAGCTTCATTCAAAAGGTGGGTGTCATATGAGAGCTGTAACTTTCTTCTTTCCAGTCGAATAGACAGAAACGTCATAATATGAAAGTTGACCCATTTTTTTTCACAAATCTGAGCTATAAACTGGATCTCAGATGTTCTCTTCAGTGATCTGCTCTGCAAAAATTATTTTTATAAAAAATACAAAGAGCATCTAAGATTTTTGGCTTTCAGCAGTAAATTTGAAGCATATAGCAATATGTTTATGATCATAAAACACATTTTCTGTTCATTAGGGAGGAGCTTTCACAAATATATATATATATATATATATATATATATATATATATATATATATATATATATATATATATATATGTAAGATTTATTTTCATGCAGTTACTGAATAATTTTCCTTAGAATTTGGGCATATAAACTCAGATGGAAAACCCGAAATATATCCACAAGCATAAGAGGTTAAACAATCTGAATATCAGGACATTCAGTCAAGGACAAAAACAAATATTAATTTCATAAAAGCTTCACTTCGGCAATCCTTTCAGAAATTCAAACAAACCAGATGAGGCTGAAACACTCCTTATGAATGAGCAGGGCTAAACTGCAACAGACAAAATATATACAAATACATACAAATGCAATGTTTTTTCGTGACACCTCAAAAATAATTTGGTTAATTTTAAGTAAGTAACAAACATTTAGGTTTACCACAAAATGGACTCAAACTACACATGTAGACCTCAGCTGGCCGAACCTGGCTTTCCCAACCACCTAAAAACTAGAAGGGGTTTTATTAGCGAGTTTTAAGCTAATATTTTAGTCCATCTTGTTGCTACACTGCAAAGGAGGTGACATGAGAGCCAAATGTACACAGCAGGAAGGTGCCTTACACGGCTAGCCTGCACAACAGTGAATGATATCTATGGTCCTATGAAAACAGCGCGAATGGGCGTCACTCCAAAGCACGGCGAAGAGCTCTTCACCATTTTCAAGATTAAAGTCTGCACCTCATCTCCTACGGAAGGCTACGCGGATTAACTACAAAACTACACAATTAGGAATAGCTTCACTCGTTGTGCTACAAGAAAGGCAGATGATGGTGTTATGTGCAGCCTCTGAGCAAAGTCAGCTGCAGAAAGACAACAAAACCAGTCAGCTAACCTAACAGCCAGCTATTTCTGAAACATCCAAGCGTCTAATAAAGCAAACAACACGGACTGTGACCTCGGCCATGAGTGCTGGTTACTGCAGGCATAGCTGCGAGATGCATCTTTAAAATAGTTAGATTAAATAAAAAGGCCCTTCTAACGCAGCTAGCCCGGTTAGCCTTCATTTCACATCTAGCCAAACAACGACGAAGTTAGCTTGTTCTTCGGATTTCCCGTTCCACCTTAAACGGTGCAGCAGTTACATTCTGGCGCCTCAGGCTGAACGTAACTGCTGCACCACTTAAGGTGGAACGGGGAGTTCGGAGAAGGAGCCTCAGCCCCGCAGCCAGCTGGCTAAGCTAGCCACTGCTGTGTTCTCAAAGGCACGGAAACTAGGCGGAACACCCAACAACCCGACCTCGCCTCTTTATAAGACTCTGCTGTAAAGGGAATCGCCAGCTCGGTCCAGATGACATTTCGCCATTAGGAGAAGCAGAAGCGCGGCTCTCACCTCCTCCAGCTCCCGTCCCTCCACTCCTTCACTCCGCCATGGCTACCGACTCCAAAACAGCCGGGCCGCGGCCACAGCTGCCCGAGCAAAAAGCCTCGATGGGTTCTAAAAAACGGTGAAAATACAATCTTAATGTTGTGGCAGAAATAAGACAAAACGCGCCTAAATGCTCCTATTTAATAAGCAGTTTGTTTATTTCGTAATTCCTATGTTTTAGACGTGAAGGCATCGACCGCTTGTTTTTCCAACAGGCAGTTTTCACTGTAGCCCAGTCAGGACCCAACAAAAAAGACTGTGCTGTATTGTTTTGAAGGATTTTAAAAACATTAAAAAAATGTAACGTAATTTTGTTTTGTTGTTGATTTTTATGTTGCTTCGTACAGGGTAGCATGAAAAAGGCCGACGGCGAGATGAGCTCAGACACAGAGACTCCCAGCAGGGAGACTGACCGAAGACGGCACTGTTTACACTGCAGAGCGGAGAGGAGCCGCGCAGAGCGGCGCCGGAGGAGCGTCCTGGGGGGGAAACGAGCAGATGACGGAAAAAACAAACCAGAACCCAGAATCCGCAGGAATATCAGGACATACAGACTTATTCGAGTGTAAACAGATTATGGAACGATGCTCCGGATTCATTCAGCACTAATTTCATTCAATAATGAGAGTTTAAAGGTCGTGATTCAACTTTTGGAGTTAGGAATTATATTTCTGCTTAAAAGATTTCCCATTTCTCACTTCAGTGTTTACTAGTATGATCTCAGTGTCAACATGAGGTAGTAAAATTTCCACCAGTACAAAAAATATCCACACGTTAAAAAAAAAAAAAAGTGTGTGTGTGTATGTATATATATATATATATATATATATATATATATATATGTATGTTAAAATTAAATACATAATAATGAAATAATAATAAAATAGAAGGGGCTTCTGATAGTGATACTATGTATATCGGTGGCTGTGGTTACTTTATTGATATGTGAATGGGAAACTTGAATTATCAGCCAATAAAGTCTTGTAGATTCCACGTTAGTTCACATTTTGCCATGACGAGGAATTAGTTGAAATGTGCTGCAGGCAGATGTGTGATTTATAATAATTAATGTCATTAGTAACATTAATAATATTAACAACAATAATAATAGCAACGGCAATAATAATAGTTATTATTATACATTAAAATATTATTATAAATAAAAAGATATATTTGAGTTCATTTTTACTTTTAACAATAAAAAAAAATAATAGTGCCTACACAGAAAAATATTTTTGCTATGTTGCTGCTAATATGTTTTGCTATTTTTTTAAGAAATCACTTTGGACATAACTATAATTTTAACATTTAAGTTTTACTTGTGAATTGAATTAACACGTTAAAACAGAATTCATATTAGATTATTCTTATTCTTATTAATGCCAGATTATTCTTATTAAAATAAATTGGGAAAGACATGAATTCTTACTAGCAGGAAATAAAATTCTACATGCTAAGTATATTTCCTACTATAAAAAAAGTTTTTTTACATGATTTAGATTTTTGAGTATTAATAACAATTTTACTTGTTCAAATTTTTGATACCAAGACACCTGTTAATTTTGAGTTTTATATGGAAATGAGCCTCTACCTTTGTTCCTCTGTCCTAAATAATCCTAACTTATTATTATTACTTGACTTATTAATATTAAAATAAAATTAACAAAATAAATAAAAACACAGTGAAGGGGCTTCTGATAGTGATACTATGTATGTCGGTGGCTGTGGTTACTTTATTGATATGTGAATGGGAAACTTGAATTTACATGTCAGCCATTGAAGTCTTGTAGATTCTACGTTAGTTCACATTTTGCCATGACGAGGAATTAGTTGAAATGTGCTGCAGGCAGCTGTGCGATTACACAAAGAGCCATCTGGTAAGTTATTTCAAACACAGAAGTCGTCAAAATGTATAACCACCAACACAGTACTGCTAAAATGACATTCATGTACATGTATTATCTTAAAGAAGTATGTCATTTTTTCCTTACTACAATACTATGATGACTTCATAAACCATAATAAAAGTCAAGCCTGTTATCTTGCTTGATTTTAATATATAAAAAAAACTTAACATATTGCAATTAAAAGCAAGAATTATGGAAAAGAGGTTATACTGTGAAGTAAGTGTAGCTGCTTTCCATCAAGAACACATCATCGGGAACATGATTTATTTGATGTTACAGATGTCTGTACATTTTCAACCCAAGATGATTGGCTGGCAGTGTGAGTGTAGAAAACTAGCTATTTAAATAATTTGTCGCTGTCACAACAAAACCTTGTATCTTCAGAATGGTAACTTACAGGAGAAAGAAAAAAACTCAGCTTGTAGTGGAAGTTAACAAGATTTTGGATCAGTTCTATTGGTCTGTTCCTCTTGAAATTATGAGAAAATGCAAAATGAAGATACAAAGATTTTATGTGACAGCAACAATTTACAAATAGATGGAATAATCTTACAATATACATTTCCCAGCTCCACAGGGTGAATTTCATAGTTGGTCTTTAAAAAGCAGACAATTAGAAAAAGCAATGGAAACTGCTCAGAGACAAGACATTGAGTGTGTTTACATGCACTTAATAATCCGAAAACTGCAGAAAATCAGGTTTTGTCAGTAATCTGTTTAACACGTTTACATGCTCTTGAGGAATCAGATAATGGGGAAACTACGGGTCTACATGAGTCAGACAGTAATCAGATTTCTGCTTTACAACCAGCCAATAAACTCACAGAACACGTGAGGTAAACGTAACGTTAAATTCAACTTCATGCCACAGCTTTTTTAAAAACATTGTGCCACTTTACCTGAAAATATGAACATGCATCATCTAGAAGATGAAGATTATTTAAATCGTTTATTTTGTGTTTTGTTGCATCTCACAGCAACACTGCTCACTTATTTCCAGTACCGCCGTCTGTTCTCGTGCATGCACAGACTGAGAAATCTGAAAGAAATCAGAGTAAGAGTTTACATGCACCGAGAAATCTGATTACTGAGCTAAAATCTGGATTTCTAGAGCGGAGTATGGTGTTTACATTACCATTTGAATAATCGGATAACTGCAGAAATCTGATTATGATCGGATTACTGAGTGCATGTAAACGCACTCGCTGACAGTGTACCAATGAAACAATGTTAATAAATACTTAAGAATTTACAAATAGGCGGCATATATTATGAAAGCACTGTTAGTATCAAATGAACAAATACAAATAAGTGCAAAACGACAACAAATCTTGATCCTTGATACACACAAAAAGATGTACAGTTGCTTCTCTTTTATGAACTCCCAAAGATAGTAAATGTCCACCATCACCAGAACTTTCATACAGGCCAGACTGCGATACTTGAAGTGGGTAAAAATGCGTTAGTAAAAATCAGCATGCACAGTGAATTCATTATATTAGAAAACAGAGAAGGCATCAATATACTTTTACATAAAAATACAGTAAATGGCACAATAACATTCATTTCTTACAACACAAAGTGAACACATTATACATTTTTCAATATTTGACAGCAAATACAATCACAGTAGCATTTGAAAACACCTTCACTTGCCCAAGAACAGTCCAGAATATATCATATAGAATTCAGAATATACAATATAAGTGCATAAAATTTGCCTCCATCTTCTCACGTCAACAAATTCTACCCCAAACATCCACCAGCATGGACGGCTTATATTGCAAATACACCATTAAGAGCTCTGATTGCAGTTCAAATTCACAATAAAGTGCACTGTTTGGCTTTTTCACATTAAGACGGGATCTGGAAAGTCATCACAAATATTATTACTCAAGTACGCCTGATTCTTATTCAACCTAGAAATGTTTTACGCATTTATCTTAAACAATGCTGAGTAACATATTTAACTCGTCTCGTTTCGCTGAAAACTCTCCTTCAAAGTGGCGCACGCTGATAAACTCTGACCATCTGTGGTTTCAGATTTAACGCATGCTGTTCCCCAGTGTGAAGGGTGTGAACCTCTGGGCCTGCTGTGCACCGATTTCTGCCACAAAAAGTGCTCCGCTCTTCTGATCCAGGTCCACCAGGTGTGGCTTAACGTCATCGGCTAGCTGAATGGAACTGACCACCTGACACTGTCCGATAATGCCCACAGGTGGAGCCTCCAGTAGGGAGACCTGGTTGGTGTTTAACTGTGCTACTACCAGGTACTTCTGGTCAGGAGTGAGACTGGGGGGAGAGAAAGAATAGAAATATAGACAGGTTTTACACTACAATCTTAACTGGACATTATGGCTTAAAGCTAGAATTAAATGTGTTTTGTTATGTTGTACAGTACAGGGTGATTCAAAAAGATTCATCCGATTTCAAAATGATTTGTTTCACTTGTAAATCATTACAGGACAATGCAGTGAAATATATAAGAGCATAAAGTTTATTATGTCATTTTACAAGTGCTCAATATTAACCTCCTCCAGCTGTACGGACAACATCAACACCACAGTCAAATTCATCCCATACTCTGAGATCATCCAGTGTTGTGGAACCATCGACGAACGCTCTGAGCTGTTGGAGCTTCACTGCCGACAAAAATCATGCTGCACAGTTATGACAGATTCACTGTTATTGAAGTGGAGAACGCAAAATGCTTTCTGCTCAGGGGTCTCATCTCCTCCAGACTGAAGGGAGCCTTCTTCCAGCGACAGTCAGAAACTCTATGACCCCCTCTTTCAATTGGATTGTGATTGGTTCCCAGGCGCCTCACGGTTGTAAAAATACGGCACTTGGAAATCGGATGAATCTTTTTGAATCACCCTGTATTTTGTAGTGCAGCACTGCATCCCTCAGGCTCATTAGTTTGACAGAGGTCCCAATTTTTTTTTTATTGTTTTGGGGTTTTTGCTCATCACCTGTCAATACCCAGCATGCATTAAGCAAACATATCACACAATCCCTGTAGCGCTCAACATCCTTACCTACACTGACCAACACAGGCCAATAAATACATCGATGATGCTAGCTAGCATTAGTATAAAGGACAACTGGTCATCAATGAAGCTAGCTAGCAAACAAAAAAATAAATAAATAAAATAAATAGGAAAAAAAAGTCACAAAAAAAAAAAAACAGTCTATCCCCAACTATCCACCCCAAAGCACAATTTATGTCCATCTTAAAGATGCTTTGCCACACAGGGATTTTCCTAGTCTTTAAACCAGAAAATCTAACTTTAGACGCTCCTGCAGTACCACTGTAAGTGGCGAGTACACGTGTACAACAGATGTAGCGATAGTTAATTTTTTTCATTTTGGCTGGAGTGCCCCTTTAAGCTTGTAAATCTTCAAATGCACTCCAGGGCTGTTCTCCACAGTATAAATACTCATTGCCAGTAGCTGTATAAACCAAGCACATAACCACAGACAAGTCTTCACAGACAAACAGAATGAATAGATTGTAATGAAGAGTTCAGAGACTTTGAACATCACACTGTCACAGGATCCCGCCTTTGCTGTTAGTTCTTGAAATTGCTGCCCTGCCAGATGTGCTCTGCTCAACTGTAAGTGCTATTATTGTGAAATGAAAGCATCTAGGAGCAACAGCTGCTCAGCAACGAAACGGTAGGCCATGCAAACTCGCACAGTAGGGCTGCACTGTGCTGAAGCACATAGCATGTAAAAATCGCCTCTCCTCTGTTGCATCACTCCCTGTAGAGTTCCAAACTGCCTTTGTAAGCAACTTTTGACTGAACAGGCAGTAATTCCCCTAGACACACTCCAAAATCTTGTGGAAAGCCCTCCCAGAAAGCCTCCTCCAAAACAGTGGAGGCTGTTATAAATGCAAAGAGCTTCATGGATTTGGAATGGGATGTCCAACAAGGTCATACAGGTGTGACGGTCAGGTCTCCATAGACTTTTGGCCATATAGTGTGGTGTAGTTTAAGCATTAAAACACAAGAGGGAGTGACTTACTGAGAATAACATTATGGTCATGATGTAATTTGTGATACCACATCCACCAGTGTCCATTGCTTTTATACAGTTTTGTGAGGTACAGAAAAAACAACAGCAAACAAACCTCCAACAGCAGTCCTACCACAAGTGGTGTCCATTGTTGTTACTTAACAACCGGCAGTGGAAGCGGAATGATAGTTATGGTGAAAAAAATGTGCTGTTATGACAAACGACACGGGTGGAATGCTTTTCAACCAATCAGTCTGTGTGACTGGAACGAACTGTTGTATAAAACATGCTGCAGAACACCTGTTCAAATAATAAATACTGTCCTAAGCTTGTGAAAGAAGTTTATGATGGTCGTAGCTCTCTTATCTTACCGGACAGAGTAGGGTGCATCATCTGTGAAGCAGCTTCCCCACGACCCCAGCCAGTCACCTGTCACAGAGTTAAACACCTGGATCCGCTTATTTCCTCTGTCAGCAACCCACACCTGATCGACAAGCACACACCATACATATGCAGTGGTTAGACCTTTTCCAGTGATGTAAATATTTTTCAAGTACACAAAGCATCTCATTGTCATGTAAAGGCAGATGAAATAGTTTCTGTAGGTCTGCAAGAAAAAGAATATTTTAATATTTGATTATTCCCGTGAATTCACTGTTACGTCCAAGTCGCCTCTGCTGCTGCCCTCTGCTGGTCTTTTGTGTTTTGTCTTATTTTCTCTGTTTCCTAGTTGGAGCTGTTTGGATCAGCTGATCTGGTGGGGGGCTGATGCGAGCTGAATACCAAGCATGCTGTGATTGGTGGCTGAATGAAGATTCGCCCTTGAAAAAGCGACAGCCATGAGATGCAGTTGGCCATGCGGTGTTTTCACCACGTGGTCCATGGCGGTCTCTAGGAAAGCTGTGTTTTTTGCTGCTCTCTTAATGTTGTTCACCTGGTTGTTTTTGGAGCTGTAGACCAGTCAGACTTATGAACTAGATTTTTGATGTTTGTACTAGTGATTGATTATCTATTTCATACTTGTGCCATATTGTCTGTTCCTTATTACCATACCTTAGAAGTCACAACTATGTAGGGGTGGGTGCCATTTATTTTGATTTATATTATTTTCTCCTGTTTACCTGTTGAGGGAGATAGGGTAGCTCCTGCTGTATTTTCTTTTCATATTTTCTTTTGGATCAGGAACGGTAGATTCATGGGGGTGGCCTTAGAGGTTTTGTTTGTTATTTTGGTGTCAGCTCACCCTGAAGTCAATACCTTTGTGACTGTTTGCCTTTATAAATAATACAACCTATTCACTTGAGCATTAAATCAGTGCGCTGGTCTATTTGTTTCTATGTTGCTACCTCTTTTCCCCTAAACCGATACAGATAAGAATATTTCAGTGACTAACATTAGTAACATAACATGCTGAGCTCACTCTGGCAATGGAGAGAACCGCACGTCCTCAGGGAGTAGTCTGGTTTGTCATATCACTGATATGAAGGGAAGGTTTAACCGGGTTATGCTTTTGTGGAAACCTACATCAACTTGCATGTGTGGTATGTGACTACTTCTTCCTTTATTTTAAGAAACTGCTCCCAGATTTTACTTATTTTTTAACTTTCATCCATAATTGTTCTTTTTCTTTCACTATCTACGTACATAAGTATGGCACTATAAATGAACTGATGCTCTCCTCAGGTTAAATTGATAAATTTTTCGCCAACATTAACCATCATTCGGGGTAATTCAGCTCATACCCTCTGGTAGCTATCCACGGCCACACTGTGGGGGATGTAGAACTGTGACAGTCCCTGGCCTTTCTCCCCGTGCATCCACAGCATCTGCAGGTCTGCACAAACACAGTGCACTCATAGACTGGAATCAAGTACAAACCTTAGCATGACCATTTGCTCTTACACATTAGGACTGTCGTAGTTGACTGATAAAACTATTGCTCTATTAGAAAAGGGATCAACAGGCCCCTTCTTGACAAACTGGCAATGATTAGTTGACAGTTTGCATGATTATTATGCATATTTTGAATTCTACCGACCTCTTTATAGTAGGAAACAGAGCCTGATTTTATGCATTTGTCACATAGCATTATATACATCGATCAGACATAACATTATGACCACCTCCTTGTTTCTATGCTCATTGTCCATTTTATCAGCTCCACTTACTATATAGGTGCACTTTGTAGTTCTACAGTTACAGACTGTAGTCCATCTGTTTCTCTGCATACTTTGTTAGCCCCCTTTTACCCTGTTCTTCAGTGGTCAGGACCCCCATGGACCCTCACAGAGCAGGTACTATTTGGGTGGTGGATCATTCTCAGCACTGCAGTAACACTGACATGGTGGTGGTGTGTTAGTGTGTGTTGCGCTGGTCTGAGTGGATCAGACACAGCAGTGCTGCTGGAGTTTTTAAACACCTCAGTGTCACTGCTGGACTGAGAATAGTCCACCAACCAAAAATATCCAGCCAACAGCGTCCTGTGGGCAGCGTCCTGTGACCACTGATGAAGGACTAGAGGATGACCAACACAAACTGTGCAGCAGCAGATGAGCTATCGTCTCTGACTTTACATCTACAAGGTGGACTGACAAGGTAGGGGTGTCTAATAGAGTGGACAGTGAGTGGACACGGTGTTTAAAAACTCCAGCAGCACTGCTGTGTCTGATCCACTCGTATCAGTCGTACAGTCTGTGCACCTATAAAATGGACAATGAGCGTAGAAACAAGGAGGTGGTCATAATGTTATGCCTGATTGGTGCTTATACATACATTATATGTATATATAGGCACCGATATATATAAACAAACAAATTATATTTGCACCAGATTGTCATGGAAATTCTTATACCCTCTAATTCTAAACGCAATCTCAGGTCTAACACTAATCATCTTTTCCAACTTTCCATAGATAAACTGCATACAACTGAACAATCGTGCCTTTTGTTCAGCTGCCTTTGGAAAGCCCTTTTTGATTGTCTGAGGGTTTCACAGACACTGGCTTCTTTTAAAACCAGCTTAAAGATTTTTTTTATTTAAAAAGGCCTTTTCTTAAATGTTATGGTGTGACATTGAGCATGGCATGGAGATATTTCATTTAGAAAGGTCTTTTATTAAATGTTATTCGCTGCTTTTATTATTTGTTTTTACTTTTTTTGGCTATGTACTGGTTTTTCTAAATGTTATGCTTTATCATTGTATTCAATTTGAATCGTTTCTGGAATACTGTGGTCTTTTTTAAATCCTCCATTGTGTATACATTTTTCAGAAATGCACAGAGCGAGAAACAGAAAAGCACCTTTGGACAGTTTGAGCAGGCGGTTGTTCATTCCTCCGTCCCCGTCCACGATGTAAATCTCTCCGGTGGCATCGTGGACGAAAATCTCAGCAGGCTGATCGAACTGCAGTGGAGTGAGAGAAGAGCCGGCCTTTCCTGCTGTTCCCAGCACCTGCAGCAGCTTCCCCGAGGGAGAATATTGCTTTATAGTATGACCATACGGCCCTGCAGCCACAAAGAAACACAACACTACTCCTTACAGACAGCAAACAAAGACATACCGTCGCCCTCTTAGTCTATAGACAAAGTGCACTGTAACAGAACAGGCACAGAGCCTATAATCAGTGATGGTGATACACATTAAGACTGTGACTTTAGGCTTAGACCATGATGGCGTCAGTGGTTTCGACAATAAATACAAGTAGTTCTGTCCTTTTGTAATGATAAAGTTATCTTTTCAAGACTTTTTCAAGATTGCTTTGCAAGTTTTCTTACTGTTTGTAGAGGTCATGAGTGCATTATTGATATGTATTAGAGAGACCAAATAGCCAAACAGTTTGTAAACAAAAGTAGTAGGTAACGTGCAGTATACCAAGACCAACTTAAATTTCTCTAGTACACCTAGCACTCCACGATGACGCACTGCTGCGGCCAAGTATTCCAGGACGCAGCCAGAGCTATGTCCAGGTCAAACTGCATCCAAAAATGCCACGCAGTTATTTCAAGAGGAGGTACCCCCTGCCGTAACCCTCTGATATGCTCCAACCAATTTAACATCCTGGGATTCATTTATGCATACAAAAATGAAATGAATGGAAACAATCTGTCCTGCTGCTGCTCTCAGTGCAATGCTGAAACCCCATCAGCTTTCTCTGCTGGTGTTCAGGTTAGTTTGTTTGTTAAATTACCGCATAGATAACGTGGTTAAAAGAGTAACTTCATAAAGTTTGTCTCAACCAAACAATCTGTGCAGCATTTTTAAGCTCACATGTGGAGTCACGCTGCTTATTATTCAATGAAACTAGCTCATATTACCAAACATGAATGTAATGAAAATGACTGACCTTATAGCTAAATGTAGGAACACACAGCTGCCTTTGGAAACCACAAAGATTTAATATACATAACCCTCCTTTCTGTCATGGCATCTTTCAAAACTCTTATCCAAAATCATATCCACATGTGCTGCTAAAGACCTGATCTGAAAAGAGCTGAAAAGCAGCTAGCAGTGGTTGCTAAGCAGTGATTGGAGGGCTGAGGAAACTGGTGCAGATCTTAAGTTCGGTCTGATAGGCTCAGATCCTGTTGTGAATAGTCTAGTTGTGGCCCTGGATACACTGGATCCAGTATTGTATACTAGTAAGTATGCATACTATGAGAAGTAGCATGCGGTATACAATATACTAGTGTGGTATGTAGTATATTAGCATACCATTTTGAATGCACCCTGTGTCAAAGAACACGTTTTCCCCCACTAAAGCAGATTTAGTACCAGTTTAGTGCATTACTTTAACTAAAGAACATCAGTAAAAGTATCAACAAGTTTTCAACATTTTCTGAATTTCCATTTATTTTCATGTCTGTAAATCAGTGTCTACATTTCATGCTATTCCTGTCTTTCCTGTGTCAGAACCTTAATGAACATGTGATGTGATTAAGACTGCATATTCACTCATAAAATTTAATCAACAGATCCAAAACACAGTTATTGCCATGAACTTGTTTCATATCAAATTTCATATTATCATTTTCAGGGTCCAGAAAAGCACAGCACTGCCAAGGTCTTCTACTCAGTCTGAGAGGTCAAGTCATGGGATTAAAGGGATTAAACTGCTGGAGGCTAAAAAGGCAGCTAAGAATGTAAATGAAGCTTAACAGTGTTTATATCAGTTGTTAAATTCAACTCCGGTCCTGGAGAGCCCATGTCCAGCCCGGTCTGGTAACATCCCTGCTCAAAAACACCAACTAAACCTAGCAATTAACAGAAGAGTTGAACAGAGTATAACATCAACCTCTTGACAGCATCCCTGAGAAAATGAAGGACTTCAGACCTTCAGTCATCCACAGTAAATCACATTCAGCATAAAACCATTTAAACACAGAAAAAAAATAGCTGAGAGTAGTGAGATGCTGCAGCACTGGAGCTTGAACTGAAATGTAAATTCAAAAAGACATCTGTGCATATTTAACACATATTTTACTAATTACTAGTTTATTTGACAAATTTAAAATAAAACATGAAATCTGGCCTGTGCAAGTTGTAGCACAATTTATGTTACATCTTTTATTTTTTTCCCAAACTGTGACTGATGTGTTGGTACAGCCTGCTCAGACCATCTCAAATGTGCATGATCGAGCACTGAAGAGGAGCCTTTATATACGAGTTGGGTAACTTAGGGGAAGAAGCCCCATAGGATAATATTCCACCCACACTTAATTTTCTCTCCTAACAAATGATGGGGTCAAAGCTAATCGCAACACAGTTACTGGACGGCGATGGTAGGAACTAATCTGAAATTTAATCTAGATAACTGCATTCCTGAGATTTATTCCTCTGGAAACTGATCAAATTTTTTCTCATCGGGAAATAGTAATCCGTGCTATTAAATTCGGCGGTAAAAGAAAAAATGTTTAAAAAATATATGATTATGGGGAGCTGTGTATATTTGGCTTTAAAGAAGTCCTGCCAGACACAGGGCAAATCCTACTATAATGATAATAATAATAATAATAATAATAATAACAAGAATAACCAACAAATATACAAATCTTTAAGTAATTAACATAATCATAACTATTCAATTAACAACACTGACTATTTTGCTGTCATTTATCTTTCGCGTATTAAAATAAAGTGGAATCATTAAGACACAAATAGATATCTCAATTTCATTTTAAAATATTTGTAGTGCTGTACTTTCACCAATAAGAATAAGAGAAGAAAAGAAATTATTTAATATATAAATACATTCATTCTGCGAATTTTAATGACAAACTGATGCGAGATTCTCTAGGAGGGGCCTCGGCATTTTTTGTGGGACAAGAGGCCCATTTCAGATTTTCTTTTTTGTGTTATTAAAACAAAACTGTCTGCAGTTCCAGCTGTGTGTAGGTTTATAAATCATCATTCTGACAACAGGCTAAAATCATGCACAGATGTTTTAGCTTTATAATAAAAGGACACGGTTCTTAAGGGGGCATATTCCCTCAGTTTCCTCCACCATCAAGATCTACCTCGGCTACAGCCTGCACTTTCAGACTTGTCTAGTGCTTCTTAATCCTGCTCCTAGTGACCCACAGCACTGGACACTTTCAACTACCCTTTGATTCAACACAACTGAACCAGCTCACCAACTGATTAGGAACCCCTTCATGAACCAGACGGGCAGAGAATAGTGAAGCTATGCACTGATGATGGTTGCCAGGTGAATTAAAAAAACACTGATTTGAGAAAACAAGGAAAACTCATTATGCCTTTAAAGCAAAACTCCACCAATATTTCAAACTTGCTGTGTAATTGAACGGTTAAGATGTAAACAAAGTCATTCATTCAGAATTGTTTACAGTGGTGGTGACAGGAACCAGACGCCTGAGGAGTTTAAGGGTGCCTACACACTAGACAACGCAAGGACGTCTAGAAGGTGTGTACACAGCTGGAGCAGGGCGGAGTTTGTACAGTTCGAAATCCAGCGGAAAACTAAATATTTAGACTAGAAACAGACAAGCAGACAACAGCCATGAAGGCAAAGAAGTCATATAGAACAGGAAAAGAGTACATAGTGTCGCTACTCTCCTCCATCTTGCATTTTCGTCCATCTTCTTCCTGCTCGTTTCTATTAGTTGACGTGCCTCCATGTCAGAATGTGTTGCAGCAAAAGTAAAAATGGTTTGAACTTTCTCGATGCTCGATGATGCGTCTTTTCACTGCACACAGGTACGTTTCTAAACTGACAGAGCTGCATTGGAGGGCTGCGTTTCTGACGCTGCATCAGCCTCTAGAGCGTAGGCACCCTAACGCCTTAAAAGGTCCCTCAGGGAAAGTTATTACATGAAATGGTTATTAATACACTCCTTGATGTCTGAGACACTGTTTTAAAGTAGTTTTGTGATAAGGTTTTTGGTCTAAAACATATTTTAATCAGTTTATATTAATCCATTCCTAGTAGAAGGATACAAGAAGGGTGTTCTAAGGCAAAGTAGTCCCCAAAGAAAACTTGTTCTTCATATGTATCACTATTTTACCATTATCAACATTATATATAAAAACTCAGGAGGCACGTGTAGGTTCTCTGGTGGTTTTGGATAGTAAATAAAATGGCTATATTTGTGTTGTAGACACTGGAACCCCTGGTTCCTATCACCACCACTGTGAAGAAATCTGCACTGGTAAGTTTCTCTACAACTGAACCATTTCATACCAAACCACCCAGGCTGACATGGTTTACACCTCAACCACTGAAGGAGGCAGACGTTTTGAAAAAAAATCACTGGAGTTCCCCTTTAAAGAACCAAAGGCTGAATGGACTCACCGTTGCCCACATCAGTGATCCACACAGTGGGATCACTCGAGGCGTTGGCCACGAAGATGCCGTGCGGCATTTCCAGCGTGCTGGTGTTCCAGGCTTGCAGGAATTCTCCATCCGTGCTAAACACCAGCACTTTGGGGACGTTCTCACCTCTCTGCACCAACACAGCGCACATGAATGTGTCATATTTCAGTCGTATATCCGCGACTATATGGGTGGAAACGGGTTCAAAGCTCACCTGGGCCACGTACACCACGCCAGCGACATGACTGACCGCCACCCCGAAAACCTGTCCAGTGAAGTACTCTGGAAACTTGGGCCAGGAGATGTCCAGCTTGTAAAGGGCTCTCCCCACGACGTGAAAGTCTTTTTTACGCTCTGACGCTGCGGTCTACTCAAAAACACAGAAAACAGGACGAGGCTTAAACTGACGTTCCGCTCCACCTTAAATGGTGCAGCAGTTTACATTCTGGCGCCTTACGTTCTGGGGACTTCTGCACCACTTAAGGTGGAACGGAACATTCGGATAAGACGACGACTTCAGCTTCGTGAAAATACATGGGGAGGAAACCAGCTACGTTGTCGTCAAGGAGATGAAGCCCAGCTTAGCTAGTAGCTAACTTAGCTAACACAGCTAGGTTAAGATCCTTCACTGTCCGCTGTATTATAGACAGGACGACAACCGACAACTAACGTTATAACCAAACATAACTTATCATGTTGGGCACTCCATTAAATATTATTAATTTAGACATTTCAAAACTGTTTGGACGCAGAAATGTAGTAACTAAGCAAGCTTTGAGGCTGAAAGAAAACGTTCAGCTCCATATGAGCAGGCTAACCCAGCTAAAAGGGATCCGCTCTTTAGTAACGGAGGCAGCACTCGTCTCAAAAACGACAGGAAAAGAAGCGACTTACATGGAAATTCAAGGTGGTATACATGACGAACATTACGAGGAACATGATAGCCATGGTTACAGTGATGAAACACAAATGACTCTTCCTTCTCATTTGGAGAAAACGTGCACGGTGTTCGCAGGTCGAATTATATTCCTGAGCTGAACAGCTCGACTGTCCTCATCACATGACTGAACCGCTGTAGGGTAGGGGTGCGGAGTCGACTCCAAAAGAGTCGATTCTTCGACTCCAGTACGTCAGGGAGCCAGGGCCGACTCTTTGCTCGTGATTCTGAGAGTCGAAATGCTTGGAGTCGACTCTTCGACTCTGTTGACTCGTGTTTTTTCGTTGTAATTGGCTCAAGGGACGTTCTAACGCACTGTGGCTTCTGTTTTAGTATAAATGGCTCATCACGTAATATGTTGCAGTCCTTCCTTTCTGGTGGTGGCATTTAGGTAAGACCACAGCCATAAAGACTGAAGACTAGAGCTACACCAATAGTGCCCTCATATCTCAAAAGACTGTAATAAATTTAATATCAACAGATATAAAACAAAGCATGAACATTACAGTAAATATTCAGGAGAAACTCAAGCAGATGCAGCTACCAGAGCCTCACAGCACCAACTTCTTATCAGAGCAAACTGAGCAGTTCAGTGAACAACCTTTTAAGGCCAAACAACAACGGCTGTTTAATCTGTTTAATCTGCTTTTCTTGTTTAATAAGGTGGTTCCTGAATGCCGCTGCTGCATTAATCTGACATCTGATATCTGAAAATTGATATTTTTATTTGGCTTTTTTTTTTTTGAACAAGTAAACACTTGAATAGAAAAGTAATTAATACATTAGGCATGTTTTATTGTTACTCGGAATAAACAAACTAACAATTTGTTATAAGTGCTTACTGATCCAAATTGGTCTGAGTGAGCAATCCAGCAATAAAAGAAGTCTCGTGCATCTTTTATACAGTGATAGGAAACACAGTGGCTCTCAGAAAGCATCTATGTGCTGATGCATTTCACTGCACTTAAGCATGCAGTGCCGTCTCTCCTCTGGCGACAGATTTATATGCTATTAAGGCATTGTTGCCAAATTCTCAGGATCACCAGCAAGGCGCTTATTTTGATTATATGCTCTGCAAATAGATTTTTGATATTTTGAAAACGTAATATTGTTGGTTTCTTTTTTGTCTTTGCTTCCTTTAGAATTTACCGTTCCACCTTAAATGGTACAACAGTTACATTGGCCCAATCCCATTTCACCCCTCGCCCCTACCTCTTAGCCCTCCATTTTGCCATTCATGTCTAGGGGTAGGGTGTCCCGATTGTTGTTGAGATAGAGAGGTAGGGTGAAGTGTTGAGGCCCTTCAATCGGAGGTTTTTCAGACACACACTCCAAACAGAGTGTTATGAGAAAAAAAGAAAAACGACAAGATGGCTGCACAAAAAACCCACAAACGTGAGAATTTTCTCCATTAAAAATTATGATAAGTTTAATGTGGTTTCAATTCATTATGATCATTTTCCTCATAACAAGCATAAAAAGTGTTAATAGTATGCTAATGTCTCGTTGCTAGCTAGCTAAATTACCCATTCCACCTTAAAAAGTCCAGCAGTTCTGACGCCTGAAGCGCCAGAATTATAACTGCTGCTCCATTTAAGGTGGAACGGGAAAATTCGAAAAAGAAGCTGGAGAATATCTGACTTCAGGTTCATATCACTGAAGAATTAGGGGTGGGCGATGATAAATAATTGCCCCCTCTTTGAAGGCATATGATTCCCTAAATGTAACTAAAGCCCAGCAGTGAGGAGCTGAACTTTACCCTCCTCTGCTGTCACTGCAGACTGGCAGGGTCGCCTACAGAGCAGCGCTGGTAGCTGTTAATGAAGTGATGCTCTTTTTATTTAAAGATCCCATTTTGTACTGGAGGATTTCAACCACCACCTCTTGTAATTGTCCAAGGGGCAAAAAGACACTCGAAAATAAGGGGCAGGGGTCAAAAGGGGAATGGGATTGGGTCATCCTTGCGCCTGTCTGGTATTTAGGTAAATACAGCATCATTTAAGGTGGAACGGAAAATTCGAGAAAGAAACTGGCGAATAAGCCAAATTCAGCCTTGTTAAAAGAACAACATTCAGCGGACCGCGGTAAAGTTGTTTTTACACTAGTTCTTTTTTGCTTTTTAAAAGAAATTGTCGACACATTACCTCAAACTGAACAGTGCATTAAGCGGATCTTCGCATACAAAAGTAAGGGACCGTTGTCAAAGTGCGCATCCTCATGTACAAGTCTTATTCTGAACGTCAAAATCTCAGTAACGTCTACACTGTAGGGCCAGCTGAAACCCAAGCAGCTAAGACCTTCCTGTAATTGTAATTTACTACTGCAGCAGAATTTAATTTCACTTTTGTGTTGATTAATGATTAATATTCTAAATTCACGAAATAAAATAAAAAACAAAACAAAAAAAAAAACAGCTTCTTTACCGTAGGGCCCAAACGTAAAATTGATGCTTTATTTAAGACTTAAAAATAAGGCTTTATTTAAGATCGAAATGTTTCCCACCACAATCCATCGCATCATAATGACAGTCCCGAAGTGGCATCTGGCAGCAGGAAGTGGCAACTCCGCCGTCTGGAAATGGCACGTACTGGCATGTGCCACTTATCGAATGGCACCTGCCACCGATAACCACACTCGGTTAGTGGCACTCGCCAGTGGCACCTGCCACACAGAGACGGCGTGTGCCTCTCAAAACAGACAAATACCAACAGCTCCTGTGAGTGGCACCAGCCATTTACTGAGTCTTTGCTTTACTCACAGGAGCTGTTAGTATGCGCCTGTTTTGAGAGGCACACGCCGTCTTTGCTGCCAGATGCCACTTCGGGACTGAACCCCTGCAGGCAAAGTCTTTAATTTGGCTTTATTTCAGGTCGAACTGTTTCCCACCACAATCGAATTAAACTGAGCACTACTGTCTAAGTCTGGGTCTCCCTAGCTCTGGGTGTGAGTTTGGAGAAGATTGGACAAAGTCAAAAATGTTCTCTAAAAAACTCAAAGGGGTCCTCTGAGAGGATTTGTGGGTGAAAATGTTGACTTTCTCCAATCTTCTCCAGATTCAGACTGTGGGTTAGTGATGCCCATAGACAGCTGCGCTCTTAGTACCACCCTAAAGTGTCCCAGAGCCGACATCTGACTCTCCCATATCCAATACACTCCAGTGGAAAATACACAGGTTTCAGACAGTGGAATTTTTCAGCTCCGACTGACTCAGTTCTTCCTGTTCTGACACATTCAGAAGAAGATTCTTTATCGGACAAACGGCCGTGAATAAACGCTGCAGAACAAACAACATGGAATTAACTGCACACAGTTCTTGATTACAGTACATTATAATTATAGAGTCTGAAAGATCTTCTGATTGGAGCGGCAGTAATGTTAATGGTGAACAGCAGGGGGCGCACTCACGCTGTTCTCAACTTCAGTTTTCTAAAGCTTTCAGTTCATCACACTTTATTTCCCACACTTTTTCACCCACAGTCCCTCTCTGCACTGTATCTGACGGTTTGTTTACGTTGTTTTGATTACATGTTCTCGCTCAGCCGTGTGTGCATCATCGGTTGCTCGGTAAAAGACATAACAGTGGATTCTCCACTTCCACTGAGCGGATTAAGATTTCCTAATTTGAGATAAGACGCTGTAAGATAAGATAAAAGTCCTAAATTAAGGTAAGATTTTCTTCTGTAATATGAATTAGTGAAAAATCTCATCTTGACCGTCAGATCTTAGTTTAGGACTGTAAACAGGATGTTTGTGGACGACCTCTTCCTCTCAGTGGAGAACCTCCACTAGGCTTAATCCCTGTCTGGAAAATCAGCCCTATGTTCCCCAAAATCATTCCGTGTGACAGAGACTTCCGTTCGCTTTTAGCCACATTAGCCTTGTAGTTCATTTTTAGGTGAATGTATATTTTTAGTATAGTAAACACAGGATGTCTTAAGGGAGTCTGGTCTCTTGCTGTTTCCCTGTTATATCAAAAATATCACTTTAAAACAGCAGAGGGTGTCCAGAGCGAGTCCTCAGTGAATGGGGGTGAATGGAGCTAAAGGGCTAAAACCGATAAGTTAAAGTAGTTTCTAATCTCTTACACAGAACTTTCCTTTAATTGTAGAAAGTAGAAGAATGAATTTCACTGAAAAAGCAAAGAAAACTCACCTGTATGTTTCCTTTTTCTACAGCAAACAGACACTAATGTTACTGATACTGATACTGAGAGCTGACTGGTTAGCATTACTGCTACTGATACTGAGTGCTGATTGGTTAGCGTTACTGACACTGAGTGCTCATTGGTTAGCATTATTGATACTGAGTGCTGATTGGTTGGCATTATTGACACTGAGTGCTGATTGGTTAGCATTACTGCTACTGATACCGAGTGCTCATTGGTTAGCATTATTGAGCATTACTGATACTGAGTGCTGATTGGTTGGCATTACTGATACTGAGTGCTGATTGGTTGGCATTACTGATACTGAGTGCTGATTGGTTAACATTACTGCTACCAAGTGATGGTTGGTTGGCATTACTGATACTGAGTGCTGATTGGTTGGCACTACTGATACTGAGTGCTGATTGGTTAGCATTATTGACACTGAGTGCTGATTGGTTAGCATTACTGATACTGAGTGCTGATTGGTTGGCATTACTGATACTGAGTGCTGATTGGTTAACATTACTGCTACCAAGTGATGGTTGGTTGGCATTACTGATACTGAGTGCTGATTGGTTGGCACTACTGATACTGAGTGCTGATTGGTTAGCATTATTGACACTGAGTGCTGATTGGTTAGCATTACTACTACCGAGTGCTGATTGGTTGGCATTACTGATACTGAGTGCTGATTGGTTGGCACTACTGATACTGAGTGCTGATTGGTTAGCATTATTGACACTGAGTGCTGATTGGTTAGCATTACTGCTACTGAGTGCTGATTGGTTGGCACTACTGCTACTGAGTGCTGGTTGGTTAGCATTACTGCTACTGAGTGCTGATTGGTTGGCACTACTGATACTGAGTGCTGATTGGTTAGCATTATTGACACTGAGTGCTGATTGGTTAGCATTACTAAGTGCTGATTGGTTAGAATTACTGTTAATAAGTGCTGATTGGTTAACATTACTGCTACTGAGTGCTGATTGGTTAGGATTACTG